TAGGCCCTTGTTCTTGCAATTTTGCAGACGCTAGGCCTTTGTTCTTGCAATTTTGCAGATGCTAGGCCCTTGTTCTTGAATTTTTGCAGATGCTATGCCCTTGTTCTTGAATTTGTGCAGACGCTAGGCCCTTGTTCTTGCAATTTTGCAGACGCTAGGCCCTTGTTCTTGAATTTTTGCAGACGCAAGGCCCTTGTTCTTGAATTTTTGCAGATGCAGGCCTTGTCTCTGAATTTTTGCAGACGCTAGGCCCTTGTTCTTGAATTTTTGCAGACGCAAGGCCCTTGTTCTTGCAATTTTGCAGACGCTAGGCCCTTGTTCTTGAATTTTTGCAGACGCTTGGCCCTTGTTCTTGCAATTTGAAACGCAAGGCTCTTTTCTTGCAATTTTGCAAACGCTAGGCCCTTGTTCTTGAATTTTTGCACACGCTAGGCCCTTGTTCTTGCAATTTTTCAGACGCTAGGCCCTTGCAATTTTGCAGACGCTAGGCCCTTATTCTTGAATTTTTGCACTCACTAGGCCCTTTTTTTTTATTTTTTGCAAACGCTAGGCCCTTGTTCTTGCAATTTGCAGACGCTAGGCCCTTGTTCTTGCAATTCTGCAGACGCTAGGCCCTTGTTCTTGAATTTTTGCACTCGCTAGGCCCTTGTTCTTGAATTTTTGCAGACGCTAGGCCCTTGTTCTTGCAATTTTGCAGACGCTAGGCCCTTGTTCTTGCAAATTTGCAGACGCTAGGCCCTTGTTCTTGCAATTTTGCAGACGCTAGGCCCTTATTCTTGCAATTTTGCAGACGCTAGGCCCTTGCAATTTTGCAGACGCTAGGCCCTTTTTCTTGAATTTTTGCACCCGCTAGGCCCTTGTTCTTGAATTTTTGCAAACGCTAGGCCCTTGTTCTTGCAATCTTGCAGACGCTAGGCCCTTGTTCTTGCAATTTTGCAGACGCTAGGCCCTTGTTCTTGAATTTTGCATCGCTAGGCCCTGTTCTTGAATTTTTGCAGACGCTAGGCCCTTGTTCTTGCAATTGCAAACGCTGGGCCCTTGTTCTTGCAATTTTGCAGACGCTAGGCCCTTGTTCATGCAATTTGTAGACGCTATGCCCTTGTTCTTGCAATTTTGCAGACGCTAGGGCCTTGTTCTTGAATTTTTGCAGACGTTAGGCCCTTGTTCTTGAATTTTGCAGACGCTAGGCCCTTGTTCTTGAATTTTTGCACATTTTAGGCCCTTGTTCTTGCAATTTTGCAGACGCTAGGCCCTTGTTCTTGCATTTTTGCAGACGCTAGGCCCTTGTTCTTGAATTTTTGCAGAGGCTAGGCCCTTGTTCTTGAATTTTGCAGACGCTAGGCCCTTGTTCTTGAATTTTTGCAGACGCTAGGCCCTTGTTCTTGCAATTTTGCAGACGCTAGGCCCTTGTTCTTGCAATTTTGCAGATGCTAGGCCCTTGTTCTTGAATTTTTGCAGACGCTAGGCCCTTGTTCTTGAATTTTTGCAGACGCTAGGCCCTTGTTCTTGAATTTTTGCAGACGCTAGGCCCTTGTTCTTGCAATTTTGCATACGCTAGGCCCTTGTTCTTGAATTTTTGCAGACGCTAGGCCCTTGTTCTTGAATTTTGCAGACGCTAGGCCCTTGTTCTTGAATTTTTGCAGAGGCTAGGCCCTTGTTCTTGCAATTTTGCAGACGCTAGGCCCTTGTTCATGAATTTTTGCAGGCGCTAGGCCCTTGTTCTTGAATTTTTGCAGACGCTAGGCCCTTGTTCTTGCAATTTTGCAGACGCTAGGCCCTTGTTCTTGCAAATTTGCAGACGCTAGGCCCTTGTTCTTGAATTTTTGCAGACGCTAGGCCTTGTTCTTGAATTTTTGCAGACGCTAGGCTCTTGTTCTAGAATTTTTGCAGACGCTAGGCCCTTGTTCTTGCAAATTGCAGACCTAGGCCCTTGTTATTGCAATTTGCAGATGCTTGGCCCTTGTTCTTGAAATTTTGCAGACGCTAGGCCCTTGTTCTTGAATTTTTGCAGACGCTAGGCCCTTGTTCTTGCAATTTTGCATACGCTAGGCCCTTGTTCTTGCAATTTTTGCAGACGCTAGGCCCATGTTCTTGAATTTTTGCAGACGCTAGGCCCTTGTTCTTGAATTTTTGCAGACGCTAGGCCCTTGTTCTTGAATTTTTGTAGACGCCGGCCCTTGGTCTTGAATTTTTGCAGACGCTACTGAATTTTTGCAGACGCTAGGCCCTTGTTCTTGAATTTTTGCAGACGCTAGGCCTTGTCTTGCCATTTTGCAGACGCTAGGCCTTATTCTTGAATTTTTGCAGGCGCTAGGCCCTTGTTCTTGAATTTTTGCAGACGCTGGGCCCTTGTTCTTGCAATTTGCAGACGCTAGGCCCTTGTTTTTTAAATTTTGCACTCGCTAGGCCCTGTTCTTGAATTTTTGCTGACGCTAGGCCCTTGTTCTTGCAATTTGCAGACGCTAGGCCCTTGTTCTTGAAATTTTGCACACGCTAGGCCCTTGTTCTTGAATTTTTGCTGACGCTAGGCCCTTGTTCTTGCAATTTTGCAGACGCTAGGCCCTTGTTCTTGAATTTTTGCAGACGCTAGGCCCTTGTTCTTGAATTTTTGCTGACGCTAGGCCCTTGTTCTTGCAATTTTGCAGGACGCTATGCCTTTGTTCTTGAATTTTTGCAGACGCTAGGCCCTTGTTCTTGCAATTTTGCAGACGCTAGGCCTTGTTCTTGAATTTTTGCAGACGCTAGGCCCTTGTTCTTGAATTTTTGCAGACGCTAGGCCCTTTTTCTTGAATTTTTGCACTCGCTAGGCCCTTGTTCTTGAATTTTTGCAGACGCTAGGCCCTTGTTCTTGCAATTTGCAGACGCTAGGCCCTTGTTATTGCAATTTTGCAGATGCTCGGCCCTTGTTCTCGCATTTTGCAGACGCTAGCCATTGTTCTTGAATTTTTGCAGACGCTAGGCCCTTGTTCTTGAATTTTGCAGACGCTAGGCCCTTGTTCTTGAATGTTTTAAGACGCTAGGCCCTTGTTCTTGCAATTCTGCAGACGCTAGGCCCTTGTTCTTGCAATTTTGCAGATGCTAGGCCCTTGTTCTTGCAATTTTGCAGACGCTAGGCTCTTGTTCTTGAATTTTTGCAGACGCTAGACCCTTGTTCTTGAATTTTTGCAGACGCTAGGCCCTTGTTCTTGATTTTTTGCAGACGCTAGGCTCTTGTTCTTGAATTTTTGCAGACGCTAGGCCTTTGTTCTTGAATTTTTGCAGACGCTAGGCCCTTGTTCTTGAATTTTTGCAGACGCAGGGCCTTGTTCTTCCAATTTTTGCATCGCTAGGCCCTTGTTCTTGCAATTTGCAGACGCTAGGCCCTTGTTCTTCAATTTTTGCAGACGCTAGGCCTTGTTCTTGAATTTTTGCAGACGCTAGGCCCTTGTTCTTGAATTTTTGCCACACGCTAGGCCCTGGGTGTCGCGCATCCAGCGAGACCAGGCGCAAGGGTGGTCACCATGGCCCAGACCTGGACCGTTGCAGTGCCTGCATTGCTGCCAGCACCACCTTCCCACCCGCTGCTGCTGCTGTGCTGCTGCATCCGGCAAAGGAGTGTGAGGGTGAGATGTGTGCAGGTGTGAAGCGGTGAGAGGGGGTTTGCCGGGATATTGGACGGTCGGGCTGCTGGTGGTGGTGGTGGTAGGAGACTGAGTGGCGTGCCTGCTGCCGCCGCTGCTGGTGCTGCTGCTGCGCCGCTGTGGCACTGCTGTTTGTGCTGCTGCAGATAGAGAAGTAGATACTGCTGTTGGCTGCAGTGTTTGTTGAAATTGAGAGGAGAAATACAAGGCCAAAGGGACAGACGTGAGAGAACAAAGGTTCAGAGGTAAGAGAGAAGTGATATCGACGGTGGAGGACAATGAAATTATTTTAGTCGACTCACTAAAAGAAAGTCACGGCCGAAGGGGACAGAGGTGAGAGAACAGAGGTTCAGACATAGAAAGAGAAGTAATATCGAAGTTGGAGAGCAATGAAAATCGATTTGAACAGATTGAACGTAATGAGGGGAACGAGATTCAAGAGGGGAATGAGAATCAAATCAGATTGAAAGTGCTGAGGGGAATAAGAATCAAATCAGATCGAACGTGCTGCGGGGAATGAGAATTTCTCAAAAGCTGCGCTACTGGGGTGGCGGCAACAGTAAAGACAACGAGTGCTTGCATCGCACATACCGTGCTTCGTTCACTCAATGCACACAAGCTGCGCTGCTGAGTGACAGCGACAGTAATGACAACGTGGACTCGCTCGCTCCAGCTGAGAAAAATGTGCATACCGTGCTTCGTCTACTCAAATGCACACAAGCTGCGCTGCTGAGTGAGAGCGACAGGACTGACAACGAGTACTCGCTCGCTTGAGCTGAGAAGAAGGGGTGCGTGTGCCATGCTTCGTTCACTCAACGCGCAATGTGCACTCACCACGCTGGGGTGCGCGTGGGCCTGGGACTGCAGCAGCAGCAGCAGCAGTGCAATCACCACATCAGTGTTGATTGACTCACCGCGTGCGCGTGGGTTGGGGACTGCAGCAGGCAGCAGCTGGGAGAGCGCAGCTGCTCGTTTTCTTCCTTCAACTGAGCCACCTCCGCCTCCAGCTCCACAGTGTACGCCTGGAGGAGTGGCCCGTGGGGATGGAAAGGGCAGCATGGCAGGTGGCTAGAGAGAGAGAGAGAGAGAGCGAGAGAGAGAGAGAGAGAGAGAGAGCGAGAGATGACGAGAGAAGAGAGAGCGAGAGAGAGGCGGAGAGAGAGAGAGAGAGAGGAGAGAGAGAGAGAGCGAGAGAGAGAGAGAGAGAGAGAGAGCACCACCTGGGAGGGAGGGAGAGGGCTCGCCTCCTTCAACTGCGCCCACCTCCGCCTCCAATTCCACTGTGTATGCCTGGAAGGGGAAGGAGGGTGGAGGAGGAGAGGGGAAGGGGGACATGCAGAGGGATGGTGTGCGCAGCTTCTCCTTCTCTTCCTTCACCTCCGCCTCCAATTCCACTGTGTATGCCTGGAAGGGGAAGGAGGGTGGAGGAGGAGAGGGGAAGGGGGGACATGAAGAAGGATGGTGTGCGCAGCTTCTCCTTCTCTTCCTTCACCTCCGCCTCCAATTCCACTGTGTATGCCTGGAAGGGGAAGGAGGGTGGAGGAGGAGAGGGGAAGGGGGGACATGCAGAGGGATGGTGTGCGCAGCTTCTCCTTCTCTTCCTTCACCTCCGCCTCCAATTCCACTGTGTATGCCTGGAGGGGAAGGAGGGTGGAGGAGGAGAGGGGAAGGGGGGACATGCAGAGGGATGGTGTGCGCAGCTTCTCCTTCTCTTCCTTCACCTCCGCCTCCAACTCCACTGTGTACGCCTGGAAGGGTGGGGGGTGCGGGGGGCACCAAGAGGGGGGTGGGGGAGCACCAAGGGGGGGGGGGAGGAGTTGGGGGTGCGCGTGTACGCCTGGTGGGGTGGGGGCGCGCAGCTGTTCGTTTTCCAACTTAAGCTGTGCCACCTCCAACTCCAACTCTAAAGTGTACGCCTGAGGGAGTGGGGGAGGGTGGAGAGAGCACCAAGCGGGGGTGGGAGAGTGTAAGGAAAGGGGGCACCATGGAGTGAGGAGGGAGAAAGTGCTATGTGCATGCCACTGCCCATATGGCCACCCTGAGCCATCCACCCTGAGCCATCCACCCTGAGCCATCCACCCTGAGCCATCCACCCTGAGCCATCCACCCTGAGCCAGCCACCCTGAGCCATCCACCCTGAGCCATCCACCCTGAGCCATCCACCCTGAGCCATCCACCCTGAGCCATCCACCCTGAGCCATCCACCCTGAGCCATCCACCCTGAGCCATCCACCCTGAGCCATCCACCCTGAGCCATCCACCCTGACCTGAGCCATCCACCCTGAGCCATCCACCCTGAGCCATCCACCCTGAGCCATCCAGCAAGTATTCTGACCTCAACGGACCTCACCTCGCCTCACCTCACCTCACCCCACCCCACACCAGCTCACCTCACCACACCGCACCTGCTTCCTCACACGGGACCGAGCCGCTGATTTTCTGTTCTTGATCATCCTTTCTGCCTCTGGGAATCTCCAAAGTCTCTCACTCATATAAGAAGAGCAGTGAGAAAGAACACCGGAAGACGATTCCTCACCTCACATCACCTCACAACACCTCAACTTACCTTAAGCCACCGCACCTTACCTGTTTCCTCGCCCGGGACCGAATAGCCGACTCTTTATTCTTGATCATCCTCTTCTGCCTCCTCTAAACGCTTCATGAGTTTTCACTCGTAGCAGAGGAGCAGCAGACAATCAGATGATGTTTTCGCACCGCACCGCACCGCACCCAACCCCACCTGTTTCCTCGCCCGGGACCGAGCGGCAGACTCTCTATTCTTGATCATCTTCTTCTGCCTCCTCTCCACCGGCGCCCCTCCCCCCTCCCCACTCCGCTTCCTCCCCCTCCGCCCCGCACTCCCCCCCACGCCCCTGCTCAGGGTGTCCCCATCACCACTCCCCCCACCTGTGTCCGACTGCCCCCCTCCCCCTCCGCCGTCACTGCCCCCCCGCCTCTCCCCCCCGCCCCCCAACCCCATCCGCCGCCACCATGCCCGCCCCAGCAAACTCCCCCCAGCCCCCTTGCGCCCACACCTGCGCCCACACCTGCACCCACACCTGCGCCCACACCTGCACCCACACCTGCGCCCACACCTGCGCCCACACCTGCGCCCACACCTGCGCCCATACCTGCGCCCACATCATACGTAGTCGGCATCATCCCCCCACCCATCCCCACGCCTCCCCCCACACCTCCGCCCATGCCCCTTCCCATGCCCATCCCCATGGCAATCCCACCAGGAGGGGCGGGTCCCAGCGACCCTATCGCTCCCGGCGACCCCAGTGGACCCCCTCCCTGCGCTCCCTGCGCTACCAGCGACCCGAGTGATCGCCGCACTGGACTTCTGCCGCCACAGCGAGCACGCGCGCAGCAGCCCCACAGCCCTGTCGCGCGCACGCGGATCCGCGCGCCCGGCGGCGTGCGCGGCGGCGAGCATGTGCGACTCCTCGGCGAGCCAGACGGATCGCAGGAAGTCGCCCATGGGCAAGGATGCGACGGCGTGCGACGGGCCGGCGAACATCGCCTGGAATTCGTCGAGCGTGAGCGACGCCTGTCGCGACAGCAGCTCCGGAAACGTCATGGCGCACGGCGCACGGGCGGAGAGGGGGAGGCGGAAAGGCGGAGAGGCGGACAGGCGGAGAGCAGAAGAGGCGGAGGCGGGAAGGCGGAATGGCGCGGAAGAGCGGATTACGCACAAATTGCGCGCCGATGCAAGTAGACGGCGACGACGGTACAATTCTTGAGGCACCGCTAAAAGCGAGCGAGAGGAATTGTGTTGTTACAAGGGTACGGTGGCTATGAGAAGTGATTTGCCTCAACTCTCTGCCGGCTCTGGCGGCGGATAAATTTGCGTTTACTATGGGCGCAAGCGCCTCGTATTTGAAACGTTGCGGCGCGCTTTCTCGTCTAATTGCGGTGTATTATTAAGCTGCTAACGAAACTGTCAGTAGGGTGGTTCGAAATCTCACGGATCCCGGCGCCTAATCCAGCCCGTTCCTATCTTCTCATACCATTTCCCCCCTCTCCCATCTTCTCGTCGCATGGTCGCATCGTCGCGAGGGTGAATGACGCGGGGTGATGGCAGGGACGAGGCACGGGCACAAGCACGCCAAGGGCACAAGCACGCCACGGCACGGCCTCAAGGAGGGAGAAAATGCGACTTCTAGAAGGAGCGAATCAAAGGAGGTGCGGCATACGGAGCTCCGAAGCGGGCCACGAGAAAAAAACGGGTCCAGACGGGAGAGAGATGAGTGAGAGAAGAGGCGACTCGGGATTTCAGGAGAGAGCAGCAGAATGAAGTGCAAGTGCTTACGAGCAAGTAATCTCTGCTTTGCTGCTATTGTGAGTGACTTGCCTTTCTCTATAACCCGATAAAGGGCGGGCTCATCTCACTCACAGAGAGAATATGAAACTCCTATCAATGTATCTTGGCCTGACGTAATTCACTCACTTGATTGGATCTTTTCTCCGCAGATTCCCACGTGTCAGCAGCCCATTCCCCCTTTAGCTGGCGAGGCAACTGTTTTGCTTCGATATACAGCGAGTGCCCATGTTCAATTATGTTTCTCCTTGAGAGTCCCTCCCATCCCCCGAACCCCACTGTTCATTTCATTCCGATCGATCATCGAAACTGTCATCAGATTTCCGCCATTCTTCTCAGCGCATGCGCATGTAGACATCATCAGCAGCCGCGTCGCGCGTGCTATAATCGCCACCACCAGCATTTTTTCCGCCCGGGCATTGACAGCCGCCGACGAAACGAGAACCGCCGTCCATTGCGGTTTCCCTAGTGATCGTCGCTGAGCGTGTTCCTTCTCCTCCGCGCTGCGTTCCGCGTTCCGCGCGACTCTGGCCCGTGGCCCTCCGCGTCCACCCCGCCTTGCCTCCGGGAACGCGCCCCTTGGCGAGTGTTACAGTAACGAGCGAACGTAATAGGTGGGTCGTCGCCGGTGCTGCGTTTTCGCAAGCCATGCGAGCTTCATCGCAGGCTGGAACAGTCGTCTACACACGCGGTGTAGGCCGCATACGCTGCTGCGATAGGAACAGCATTTCAGAGCAAGAGCGGCTACACTCCTCATTTTCGAATCTACTCTTGTCCTCCTTCTGACCGCGTATCTTCCCCACTTGATTCTAACTCCTCATTCCCCCCGCTCTCGACTCTCGCCCGTCCCTCTCCCTCCCTCCTGTTCCCTGCTTCCTCTCCCATCCCCCCCTGTCGTTCCGTTCCCCTATCGTTCCGTTCCTGTCGCCCTATCGTTCCGTTCCCCCCTTCGCCAACACGGTCCCATTCTTTTCCAGAATGCCCTTGCAACGCGCGCGCCTACTCTCCTCCGCGCACTCGCTAGCCGCCGCTTCCCCCTTTCGCACCGACTGCTGCGCCACTCCGCCAAGCGCAGCGCGCGCTCCCTCCCGCAGGCCGAGGGTGCGGCGCGCAGCGGCTGCAGGGGGAGCGGGCGAGGCGGTTGCGGGGGCGGCGCCGCTGGCGACCGCTGCGGGGGATAGCGCAGTGAGGGCGGGTGAGTGGGGATGGTGAGAGCGGGTGAGTGGCGGTGGGAGAGTGGGGGCGGGTGAGTGGCAGTGGTTGGGGGAGGGCGGGTGAGCGAGGTAGTTTTCCTTTCCTCCCCTCCTTCCGCCCTTCTCCCCTCCCCACAAGCATCCCGTGGGCTATCCTTTTTATTTGCCAGAACTCTTTCCCCACACCCTTCCCCCCTCGAACCCTTCCTCCCCGCTCACTCACCCTCCTCTTTTCCCCACACACTTCACCCTCTCTCACTCTTCCCCTCTCACACCCGTTCCCGCATCCCCCCCCCCTCTCTCCAGTCTCCGCCACGTGTTCAGGTTGCGCCAGCAGTGGCAGTGGCAGTGCGCAATCTGGTGGAGCAGGCGCAGTACGCGCAGCTCTGCTCCATCATGCCCCGCTCGCACCACCGCCGCATGGGGTACCCCTTTGGGTTGCTGGTCGATTTTACAACCGATGCTGATGGCCGTGAGTCAACGAGAGGGGGGGTGGGGGGGGAAGGGGGAGAGCAGAGAGCAAGATGGGCAGTTGGGGCAGGGAGAAGAGGGGAGAGTGAGAGGAAAGGGATGCATGCCCAAATGAATGCATGTTGACATGCTACACTCCATCCCCATTCTCTGCCATTCCCCCCCACCACCCCCCACCCCCCTTTCCGGAGCGGATGCAGTGGGATGAGATGCGGAGGAGGAGGCGAGGAGGGAGTGGCGCTCGTGTTGCTGCTGCCTTCCCCACCCTCCCCCCGTTTTCCACCTTCTTCCCCTTCCACCCTCTTCACTTGCCCATCCGCAGGAGGCACGGCGTTCCCATGCACGCCCCCACCACACGCTGCACTCGCTCACGCACTCCCACCTCACCCACGCCCTTCCCTGCTCTCCGCTGCCCTGCTGCTTGGACCTGCACCTGACAGCCAATGGCACACTGCCACGTCAGAGGAGAGCAGGAACAACAGCACCAGTCCTTCTGTCCGTTCCTCTCCCTCGTACTCTTCCTCACTCTCCTCCTCGCTCCCTCTCCCTCCTCCTTTCCCTCGCTCTCCCCCCACCCAGTGCGTTGCCGCAGGTCACGGGGCAGAGACTGGAGACGAGAGGGGCACGCGAGTGAGTGCGCTCAAGCAGGCGCCGACAGGTGGCTGGGTGAACACCTCCCTCGCGTGTCCACGCCCTCATGCCGGTCGGAATGCCGAGGAATGGGGGACGGGGCGAGAAGGGGGGGTTCTACTTTGGGGGTGCTAAGTGGGGCGCGGAGGGGAAGGGGAGGATGTGGGATGGGCGTCTCACTGAGCCAGCGCTCGCTCGCTCTGCCTTGCTGCTTCCTTGCCTCAGCCATCATCGCCCTTCTTCCCTTTCACCTCATCCCATGCACCCCCTCCCATCCCATCCCATGCGCCATACCCTACCCCATCGCCGCCACTGCCTGCACTCCACCTCCCTCCCTCACTCCCTTCCCCTCTTTTGCCTCGGTCAAGCGTGCGTGTGAGCAGCAGTGCATGCGTGTGTTTGGCTGGGGGGTGGCAGGTTGGGCAGGGAGGCAGTGGGGTTGGGGGAGAGCACATGTGGCGCCTCCACCATCCACGAACAGTCACCCACCCTGCTCGTCTCACATGCACGGGAATCCCCCAACGGGCGCCATCCACCTGCGCTACCAACGCCACCCACGCACTGCCCATGTGCCTGCCCCGCGCATGGCCTGCTCACCGCACCGCCGCTTCATGTGCCTGCATGCCGTGCGTGCAGGGCATGCCATGCGTGCAGGGCATGCCATGCGTGCAGGGCATGCCATGCGTGCAGGGCATGCATGTGTGCAGGGCATGCATGTGTGCAGGGCTTGCATGCGTGCAGGGCATGCATGCGTGCAGGGCATGCATGCGTGCAGGGCATGCATGCGTGCAGGGCATGCATGCGTGCAGGTCATGCATGCGTGCAGGGCATGCATGCGTGCAGGGCATGCATGTGTGCAGGGCATGCATGCGTGCAGGGCATGCATGTGTGCAGGGCATGCATGCGTGCAGGGCATGCAGTGTGCAGGGCATGCATGTGTGCAGTTCATGCATGTGTGCAGTTCATGCATGTATGCAGGGCATGTGCGCATGGCGTGTGTGCATGTTATGTGTGAAGGACATGAGTCCAGTACGCGCGGAAAGAAAGCAACGTTGATGCATGGCGAGCGGGAAGCGGCAATTGGAAAGCAACGAACGGAGAGTGGCGATCGGCGCTGCTGCTGCCGTGGTTGCCATTGGTGGCGAGCGCAAGGCGACGAGCGGAGTGGTGAAGGACGACTGACAATCGGTGAGGTGAACGGGACGAGCGGAAAGTGGCGAGAGGACAGCGACGAATGGAGGCGAGCAGACAGTGCTGAACCCGGCTAAGTTCACTGCTAACTCTCACTCCCTCCTACCCAAATGGCGCCCTGCGCGTTCCCCTTCCCACCCCTCCCCAACCATCCGCTTGTCGCTTGGCTGTACTGACCACACGTGCTTTCCTGTCGCCCTTGATCATCGCGACTTCCTTGCTCGCCCCAGCTTGTATGCTGGGCTTGTGTGCTGCGCATGTGGTGTTGGGGAGAGCACATATGGCACACCACCATCTACAGCCTCCTCCTCCCATTGCATCCCTTGCGTCGCCTCCATCTCACACCCACTCACACTCATTTACTCACATTCTCACATTCACACACTCGCACTCACACACCCACTCACACGCAACACGCACGCACATGCTCTCACGCACACCCACAGGCCCTCACACACACTCACTTACAGGCGCACACACACACTCCACACGATCACACACCCACACACACACCTACACGCACTCACAACCACTCACACACTCGCTGACATTCACACACGTCTCCTCCCCATCGCGTCGCCTCCTCTCTCTCCACTGGCTAGCGGACTGGGCCGCTGCTTCTGCTTCCCCACTCCTGCGTCTGCTTGCTCACTGCTGCTGCTGCTGTTGCCCTCCCTGCTCCGCACTGCTTTCGTGCTGCTGCTGGTGGCAGTGGTGGCGGTGGTGGTAATTCTGGTGACATGCATTTGCATGCCGTGGTATGGCTTGCACAGCGTGGCATGGTGCGCTAGTGGGGCATGGGGCATGGTGTGGCATGGCATGACGCCATGTGCACGATGGCACCACATGTGGGGGAGAGGAGCATGATGGATGGAACAGGGAGGACAGTGTCAGAGGAAGTAGAGGGAAGAGGGTGGACGAGTTCAGGCGTGGGGCATGTGGCAAGCATGGCTGTCTCGCTTGCTGTGCCATCTCACCACTCTCATCCATAATTGTAAATTGTAGTTACTAAGATTATGGAATTTATCAATAGAATGTTATTCATAATACCATATATCAAGAGAATCTGGGATGTATGTACGGTAGTCTCAAGAAGATGTGGTGCAAGTATAAGCAAGAGAGAACTACCAGCTGTAGAGTTGTTGGGCAGTCGTGGGTCTCCCTTCACCTGGAGGGACATGGATTGCAATACAGCTGTGCTTCTCCTTTCACCCGGAGCACAGCAGGGCTAGGGAGAGCTATTGCTGCTGGTACCAGCTGCATGTTCTGGAAGGAATACATCATCTCTCAGCTCTGCTTCCACTGCATGCTCATTGCTCACCCTTCATTGCAATTTCTACTGAACCGGGATATTCATGTTCCAACAGTAGCACATTTAATGCATCAGCTCAGTCAGGGCCTGAATGTAGTGAGATTAACCGAGTGACTTGCGGCAAGTGGCCGAATGATGACCTGGAATACCCTAAGCTGTCAAACTCTCTCCAGAAGCTTGGTACCCGTTCTACAAGACATCCCGAAAATGGCCAGGGTGCTGTGTTTCATCCTCAAGCAGATACACCTCGCCCCGCGCAGGTCGTCACAACCCCCATCCGACTGCCGTCCGTTGGACCCGTCGCCCCATCTCCCCCCTGCCCTGCTCCCTGCCATCAGGCCATGTCATGTCGGGCTCGGGTGGTCGGTGATGACGGGGCCACATCTGCCGCGGGCGCACGACATGACCAGTGAAAAGAACGCCTCTCTCCCACCCCCTCTTCTCCCACCCCCTCTTCTCCCAACCCCTCTTCTCCCAACCCCTCTTCTCCCAACCCCAACCCCTCTTCTCCCAACCCCAACCCTCTTCTCCCAACCCCAACCCCTCTTCTCCCAACCCCTCTTCTCCCAACCCCAACCCCTCTTCTCCCAACCCCTCTACTCCCAACCCCTCTTCTCCCAACCCCTCTTCTCCCAACCCCTCTTCTCCCAACCCCTCTTCTCCCAACCCCTCTTCTCCCAACCCCTCTTCTCCCAACCCCTCTTCTCCCAACCCCTCTTCTCCCAAGCCCTCTTCTCCCAAGCCCTCTTCTCCCACCCCCTACCTCACCCTCCCTTTTCCCACTCCCTTCCCTCCATTCCCTTTTCTCCCCACCCCACCCTTGTCTGTCCCACAACCTCTTTTCCCTTTCCCCATTTTCCATCCCCCTTCTCCCACCCCCTTTTTCCCACCCTCTCTTTCCCTTTTCCTTCTCCGTTTCCATATTTCTCGCCCAAACACTTCAATCTTCCCACTACCCCCTTTTCCATTCTGCTTACAGTAGCAGCGCCCTCCACAAATCGTTGACCCACCGACCGGCTTTCGAAAATGGATTGGGCTTCTTCCTCTGCTTGGCAAAACTCCGCATGCTCATGCTGAATTGGTAGGAAGTGGAGGAATAAAGAGTCGCAAGATTGGTGCATTCTTTCACAAATGATTTGGAGAGAGAGAGAAAAAAAAAATCAAAAAAAAAAAAAAAAACGAGAGAAACAGAAATGAACTTAAAAGATTTGTCACTTGCGGACAAAAACTCAACACTTCCCATGCAATTACTGTAGTAAAACCTGCAGCCATGGCAATTAAAACTATTCAAGAACCACATGTATCAAAGGACAAAACTTACTTCATAGATTGACTCGAAATGTGATTGGTAGTATGGTGTCCAAGGATAAATCCTACTGACACAATGGTTCTTCTCGTGCTGAGACCCGATAAATCAAACGAATAATAGAGAATAAGAGGTGAAAAAGGGGGAGAAATGAGATGTGGGGAGTGGCAAGAAGCAGAGTACAAACATAAAACATCTTTCGTCTCACTCACAAAACCCTTTGAATCCATCCGCATTTAACGCACCTCCAATGCACACGGTCGCACTTCCACGTGAGGATGTACACTGTCTTCCCTTTGCTCCACCCCGACCACCACACACGGCCACGGCCCGTACTTATCCAGCACGGCCCACCCTACATCGCCCACTCTGGGCGGTGCACGAGCCCGAGGTGGCGCTGCTGCTGCTGCTGTTGCTGGCGCCTCCTGCTGCCGCCACTCCCCAGCCACCTGCTGCGTCGTACCATCTGACCTCCTACGTGCCTCCTCCTCCTCCTCCTCCTCCTCGTGTGCTGCTGCTACTGCCGGTGTTGGTGCTGCTGTTGGCGCCATCGACTTTCACGTTCAGCGGAAAACTGGTTGCTGCTGTTGGCGATGCAAGAATCAAAATACTGGGCAAGGGAAGAGGGGGCGAGGTAGGAAGAGGAGGGGGGGGGTGGGGGAAGAAGGATCAGAGGACAGAGGTAGATTTGATAAGAGGGAGAAGGAAAAGGAATGCGAAGGGGTAAGAGGGATCAGCGAACAGAGATAGAGCGTCCACTGTGATTGAACTTTGTCAGACAATTGTCGGATACGATCTGACACTTACAGTCACATTCCAAATCAGATCACATTTCCGAGGTTCGAAATAGCATAAATTATTACAATGCGAATCTGAACCGTGTAGCGAATGTTGATCTCAAGACCCGCGCTCGGGTGTCGCCGCGCGTCACACAGATGGTGCCGCGCGTCACACAGATGGTGCCGCGCGTCACCGCTGCCGTCGCGAATAGCGTTTTAGGATAAGTGCGTTACAGATCTCGGCGTCTACAGCTCGAGGGAAAATACGAAGTAGTAAGTGGCTGTGGTGGGAACGGCCTTCGTCATGAAAGGATGAGTAGATGAGAAACATCTGATCGATGGCATGAGGCTTGTTGGGCGGCGTCATGATCGAGGAGGGGGGCCTCGCCAAGGTGGCGCCTTGGGGATAGCTTAGCAGCTGAGGGAATAGGCGGGTTAGGAATAGCTCTGAGTTAGATTGGGCTGCTCTACAGAATGTTGGCTCAATTCTCGAGGCTTTGGAGCCCAGTTCGGCAGCCAGGGGGAAGCAAAATTTCTGGAAGGTAATGGGAAGGTGAGGCGAGCGTCAAACCAGGGTCAACGAATTTTGACCCTAGATTGACTGCTCCGCGGAAAACCTGCGCCATGGGGGAGCTGGCGCAGATTGGAGGGGGGGATTGGAAAAAACGCCGCAGGAGAGAGGCACATTAGGCCTCAAATTCGCATGCCCCAGGGCACTGTAGCGGGAACAGAAAGGCTCGCCCCAAAAAAAAAAGAGGTTAGTTGGCCCTTACTATACTGGAGAAGGTATATTTTGTGCAGTAACCCTTTTCTTCGTAGGGTGCAATGTTGTCCCGTGAACAGTGATTCTTCTGGAATCAAAAAAGTGATTCTTGTGTTTTGGACTAATCATTTTTTTCTTCCGTCTCACTAGGGCGGAAGCTTTCCGCCATGGGCAGAGAATAAGGACAGAAGACGGCGCGGAATCAATTTTAGGTGGTGTTCGCGTCGCTGCTGCGGGAAACCTGCGCTTCGAATTCCAAACATTTTACCCTACAGCCCACACTGTTTTGCTCTCGATAATGCGATTAGAAGCTTCGGTGAAGACGGGAAAATTTTGCTTCCGTCCTTCTTCCGTGGCTGCCGAACTGGGCCCGATCTCGAATCTGAACCGTGTAGAGATTGAATTCGAATTCTCAAAGACTCTATCTCAAATCTGAACCACACATTTGGTTGCGAAACTGTTCGCCTGCGAAACTCTTCGCTTGCTGGGTAACACGTTTGAAAGTTGATTACGAGGTCAAGGGGAGGAGTTCCTATTCGTTGGCATACGAATCTGGGACGTGCGTGGCACTCGAGGTCTGAAGATCTACATCACAGTACACACATAGCTTGTTTATAATTATATTCTTCTGATCATGCTCGGAGAACCTACTCACAGCATCCCGTGATAAATATTGGCTGCAGGTGCAGTGCACATTGGAGCTGCAGTGCTGTGTTTCACCATACCAACAAACGAATGCACCGTAAATGTATACATGGACATGCGCCACCAACGCAAGTCACGCGTGCTTCTTAGTGGATGCATCAGCACCTGCAGTGGCTACTCTTGCTGACCCTTTACTCCCCCCGCCATGGGCAGCGTAGGAGTAGAGCGCCATGCCTGAGACTGCCATGGCCATGCCCACCATGTTAGCGGGCGAGAGGGAGGAGTCAAAGAGCATCCACCCCAGCACCAGCACCAGCACCGTCTTCATGTTGCCTAGCACCTGCTGGGCGCATGGGCAAGCTTGTCTTGTCCTCTTAGTATTGGCACGGCAAAGTGAGGCTGCCTTGGAGTTGGCTAACCGGATTCAGGATGAATAGCATGGGGTTGGATGCAGGACAAGCCGCAAAACACAGAGGGCCTCCAGCATCTGGGTGAAAGATCAACGCAGGCTCCATCCTTCGGGTTTCAAGGGCCAAGGAGCCATGCATTGACCAGAAGAAATGGGACTATTTGCGCAAGAGAGAGGGGTAGGGGTGGACATGCCTGGAAGGAGGTGGGAGAGAGTATGTTGATGCAGAGGTACTGGGTGAGGTTGCAGAAGATGGCGAGCACACACGACAGCAGCACGAACGCCTGCACCGCATGGCACAGCACACACGGGGTATGATCTCTCAACCATGAGAAAACAGCTCTCGGCAAATGAGGCTCAAGCACCGCCAGGAGTGCAGCTGCGATCAAAGGAACGGGCGGGAAATGAGAGAAGGAAGTGAGGGCAGTTCCCATGCAGCAGCAACGCATGCTCCCCACACTGAGAATGTCCCGGGCTTATGAGTCCACCTAAAAGACACATGCTCCTGGCAGTAAGCATGGCCTGACAGCGACTCACCCAGGCAGCTGTGCTGAAGTGAGAGCGCCACAGGGACTGGCCTCCCAGCAGCAGCGAGTCTGTGGAGGGGCCTAGTAGCAGTAGTGACGCCGCTTGGGTGGGCGCGGTGAGGGAGAGCAGGCTCATGGAGTTGATGGCGTGCCGTGAGTGCAGCATGGCGATGCCCTGCCATGCGCAGCACATGGGCACGCGTGGGAGAAGAGATGCGAGGGAGGGATAGTTGTGATGCGGAGGGACAGTGGGAGAAGGATGTAACCATTGGGCAGATGCCTTCAGGTATAAGTTGCCCTATTTATCCAGGTTACATCAAATAGCAACCGCAACGAGGTGCCCTCAACCCCTGCTGCCTTCACCCCCCCCCCTCCTGCCCTCAACCCCGGCTGCCCTCACCACTTGTTGGAGGGCCGTGGCTGCGACAGCAAGAGCAGCGACAGCGAGGCCGGTGGGGCGGATGGAGACGTCAGTGACGGTGCAGACCGCCACGCCCGCCAGCACGAGCATGATGGCGCCCAGCACCGAGCGCGAGTAGTGCCGGCCATGCAGCGCCCACTCCAGCACACACACCGTCGGCAGCACACTCAGCTTCGCTATCTGCACCGCACGGTGGGGGGCGAGGCATGTGTTGCCGGGGAGACAGGAGGAGGGGAAGGTTTTGGGGTGATGCAGGGAAAGGAGGAGGTGCTGGGGGATTTGTGGTGTGAGTAAACTGGGTGTGTTGCAGTGGAGACGTGGGAGTTGCAGGTGAATGAAGCCAATGAGGGGTGGAAAAGAAGGTGGGGAAAAGGGTGGGAAGAAAGTATGAAGGAGAAGGCATGTGATGGCAGTGTGGGTGCAAGGGAGGGGTAGGAACGCACTTGGTAGAACCCAACGGTGTTGAGCATGAGGCTGAAGTTCATCCCCACTATAGACGCATTCGCTACAACGCTGAACGCCAGCAGCTCCCCCAGCGGCACACTGGGCGCGCCCTTGCGAGCGCTGCCTCCCAGCCAGCCCACTAGGCCCGTCATGGCGAAGTGCAGCGCCGTCAGCGTCGTTGCTGCCATGCCATGCCAGCACACCAGCGCGCACAGGGGACGGGGAGGGGGTCGGGTGGGGGCGCGGGAGGGGGCGCGGAGAGGGGCGGGGGGAGGGGGAGTGGAGGGGGTCAGGTGAGGAAGTGGGGGAGAAGTGTTGGTATGGTAATGCAGCAGGGTGCGAAGAGGTCCAAAAGAGAAAGTGCAGAGGTGGTGCAGGGGTGCACGGCGGAGGGCGAGGGGTTGGCGCAAAGAGGGAGATGGAGGCAGGAAAATGAAACATACAAAGATTACGAGAAATTGCAAGGGAGCGAGAGCGGGGATGAGGGGGGACGTGGGGAGAACTTTGTGGCCGACTTGGAGGAAACGAGCGGAGAACATGGAAGTGGAGGTGGGGGCGCGGATACAAGGAGGGGAGGGATAGGGTGCGAGGCTGACCGAAGTGGAAGGCGTATCGGGACATGATGACCTTGTTCACCATCACCAGCGCCACCGAGCTCCCCACATTGCCCGCCCACGCGCCCACCGCCGCCCACCGCGAGTGCTGCCCGCTCGCCGCCATGCCTGCCGTCGCCGCCCCGCTGTACAGTCGCACCCGCTGCGCGGAGTTGCGGCTGCGGGCGTGGGGGAATCGACAGTGGGAAGGGGGGAGGCGGTCGTGGGGGAAATTGGTGCGGGGAAGGTGAGCTGTCCGCGCAGGCGCAAGTGATACGCGCCTGCTCTCGATGTTGCGCGCAGTCATTACCGTGAGCGCCATTCATCCAGCGGCCGATTCTCCAGCGAAGCGTCCCTCGAAAAGCATGGTACTTCAACCGTTCGACCGCATTGCTCTTTAGCACGAAGCGCGCGCCAATGCACACTTCGTGAGCTCACCTTCCGGCAGTCGCGCGGAGCTTCTACGGCGAATCGGAATCAGGGCGGTGCCAGTCCACGAGCACCGCGCGCGCGGCGTGCTAGCTTGGCAACCCTTTTCTCCCCGCCACCTCCTCTACCTATACCCGACAGCTGCGGCTGCGCGTTCTACTGCCCTCGATGGGCTGGGGCTGATCTAAACGCCTTGGCTGGCGTCGTCTAGCGATCGTGCTGGTTGTCGTGCTGTGAGCGGCGGCCGTTGTGGAAGGGAAATGCAGGTTGGCTGACGTGGGTGCGCCAGTGACGTTGACGTCGTCGTCCTAGTGGCACTTTCTGGTCAACAATAATAATTTTGACTCGCTGTAATGGCTTCGAAAAGTGCCTCATCCGTGGTACCTACCTAGTATCAGCCATGGGAGCATTAACTCAACTTCTTTACTATTTCGCTGGAGGGGATACTCTGAATGATGGGGATAGTGCCATGCACTGTCAATTCCTTCGGTCATACACCCGTGTTCCCACTGCTCAAGTGGTACCTATCCTAGTTTAACAAAACTACTCATGTAAGCTGTGCCAGATGTAGGCTTGAGAACCAAGGATGGGACCAAAACGGCACACAGTGCAAGGAGCAGGTATCAAGTGTCGGATCAGTTGTAGAGATCATCGTCATCCTCTGCAGTGCCCGCAGCACCAGTTGCTGCAGGCACAGCGGACGCGGGTCTGTCGGGGAAGCGGAAGTCCGATCCAAAGCCACGTGACTGCTGCAGGGTCTGTGCAAAGGCCTGGTACCTGCTCACACCGAGCAGTCAGACAAAGACAAAGCCAGGGACAATGGGTACGTGCGGCAGTTACAACGCTGTGGTGTAGAGCTCTGTACAGCACAGGAACTTCAGTAGCAGGCAAAGCAGGTGATGACAAGGCATCACGCAAGAACACGGAGTGCATACAGATGTAGTAGAGCGTAGAGCGTGGCACGTACTTGCGGATGTCAGCGTCACTGACGGAGCGGCGGGCAAACTTCATGGCCTCCTCAAAGTGCGCTGCTGTGATCTCAGCCACCTCATCCGCCTCATCCTCCTCCATCGAATCCGGGTTGGCCGCCCGCCGCTTCTCCCTCTCTATGTCCTGCAGTGTCAACCATGCAGGCATGCACGCACACACAGCAGGTATGCATGCACACACACACACACACACACACACACACACACACACACACACACACACACACACACACACACACAAAAACACACATATGCACACGCAGTCACATTAGCACAGGTGCGTGCAAGAGTGAGCACACATATGCAGCAGAGCAATCAACTCAAAGTGAAGCACGCACACGCAACATGGGCATGCACAGAAGCGTCAATCCAAACGCCAACAGCACGCATTCAAGGCTGCATCCTCAGCAAAGCTAGCTGCTGCCCGAGAACACCACTCCCCTCACATAACCAACTCCCACCTCACCTCTCTTCCCCGCCCTCCCAACCCATTTTCCATTCCCCCTTAATCCCACCTTCTCAATGTTTTCCCGGATGGCATATTTGCAGGCGCGCTGGCAAATCTCCGTGATGTCAGCGCCACTAAACCCATGCGTGTAGCGCGCGAGAGCAGCGAGCTCAACCTCCTTGGCGAGGGGGGACTTGCGCAGCACAGCCTCAAAGATCTTGAGGCGCGAGGCCTCATCGGGCAGCGGGATGTAGATGAGCTGGTCGAGGCGGCCCGGGCGCAGCAGCGCGGGGTCGATGATGTCGGGGCGGTTGGTGGCGCCGATGATGAACACCGTCTTCTTCGCGTTCATGCCGTCCATCTCCGTCAGCAGCTGGTTCAACACCCGGTCCGCTGCCCCTCCCGCATCGCCCACACTGCTGCCACGCTGCAAGTGGCGGAACGGGGGGAAGTGAGGGGGATGTGGGGAGAGAAAGTGAAACAGAAGCTTGTTTCTGTTGGGTGAACGCCACAAGGCCACCGTCAGTTCCTTCCCACCATCACGATTGAGCACGAGCTGCTGCATGCCTGGCATAATCCTATGCTGCAACTACTCCACGGCTCGCATGACTCACCTGGGTGGCGATGGAGTCGAGCTCGTCAAAGAAGAGCACGCAGGGGGCGGACTGGCGCGCCTTGTCAAAGATCTCGCGCACGTTGGCCTCGCTCTCGCCGAACCACATGGTCAGCAGCTCAGGGCCCTTCACGCTGATGAAGTTGGCCTGGCACTCGTTCGCTATGGCCTTGGCCAGCAGCGTCTTGCCGCACCCCGGCGGCCCGTAGAACAGCACGCCCTTGCTGGGCGACATGCCAAACTTCTCAAACTTCTCCGGGTGCTCCACCGGGTATTGCACCGTCTGCCAGCACGGGGGAGAAGGGGAGGGGAGGGGGGGAGAAGGGGAGGGGAGAAGGGGGGGGGGGGAGGGGGGGGGGGGGGGGGGGGGGGGGAGGTTGGTAACAAGAGGAGAGGTGAGGGACGAAATTGAAGGAAACTGGCTGCCAGGAAAGATGGGCCAGGAAGCGAAATTGCCACGATACAGCATAAGGAAATTATGGCAGTAGCAGATGTGAAGCAAAAAAAAGCAGCGCTGCGGGAGAATGTGCGAGCAAGAAGGCATGGGGTTTAGTGAGCGCATGGTGATGGGAAGACATGCAGTGAGCTCACCTCCTGCAGCTCCCTCTTGACATTGTCCAGCCCACCAATGTCGCTCCATGTGACGTTGGGCACCTCCACCACCTGCTCTCATGCACACACACTCACACACACACACACACACACACACACACACGCGCGCGCGCGCACGCACACATACACACACGCACACACGCACACACGCACACACGCACACACGCACACACACACACACACACACCCACACACACCCACACACACCCACACACACCCACACACGCAATAACACACACACACACCCAGACCCACGCCCACACCCACACCCACACAAACACACACACACACACACACACACCCACACACACACACACACACACACACGCGCGCGCGCACACGCACACATACACACACACACACACGCACACACGCACAAACAATTTGAGTGAATTCCAAGGAGGGTTGGTTGGGTTGAGTCAGTGATGGGTTGGCATGGGAACGAGGGTGAAAGAATATGCAACCAGCACAGACGTGAAAGGGCAAGTTTCCACTTGCAGCGCATGTGACAAGGAGACTCTAAGCTGCGCGCGGCACTGACCGTTTCCCTGAGCGCGGAGGGGTTGGAGATGCCGAGCGCGGTGGAGAAGTGGTCGTTGGAGACGGCCATGGAGTTGAGGACCTCGGCGTCGATGCTGTCGTCCTCCAGGTCGATCACGTCCATCTTCTCGCGAATGCACTGCAGCGCCGCCTCCGTGCACAGCGCCGCCAGATCCGCGCCCACAAACCCGTGAGTGTTCGCTGCTATCTTCTCCAGATCCACCTGCGCGCCACAGAAAAACGGAGGGTCACAGGGGCGGGCAGGGGAGTGGGCAGGGTGGGGTAAGGATAGTTGCTATTAATAAGTTCATTCAGACATTACTGATAGGTTCTTCACATGCACTTCCCCATGATTTGATTCAACCCCATCTCATTCCAGGTGCTTCAAACCAAAATTACGACCCAACTCTGTCCTACAGTTAGCGAGCACTCCTTCCCTTTCGTTCCCCCCAAGCACCAGAATCCCTTTCCCCCCCACACTTCCCACAACCCTCTTCCCTTCCCACACCCCTCTCCCCCCCTGGCACGTACGTCTTCAGCGAGTTTCATGTTCTTGGTGTGGATGCGCAGCACCTCCAGCCGCCCCACCTCGTCCGGCACGCCAATGTCAATCTCGCGGTCGAACCGCCCGAACCGCCTCAGCGCGGGGTCGATGCTGTTGGGCCGGTTCGTGGCGCCCATCACAATCACGTGCGCGCGCGACTTAAGTCCGTCCATGAGCGTCAGCAGCTGCGACACTATGCGCCGCTCCACCTCTCCCTGAGTCTTCTCTCTCTTGGGCGCAATCGAGTCAATCTCGTCGATGAAAATGATGGCGGGGGAGTTTTTCTCCGCCTCCTCGAACGCCTTCCTCAGGTTGCTCTCGCTCTCCCCCGCCAGCTTCGACATGATCTCCGGCCCGTTAATCAGGAAGAAAAACGCGCCCGTCTCGTTCGCCACAGCACGCGCTATCAGCGTCTTACCGGACCCAGGCGGGCCGTAGAGCAGGATACCCTTGGGCGGCTTGACTCCGATGGACTTGAACAACTGCGGGTGGCGCAGCGGCAGCTCGACGAGCTCGCGGATCTGCGCCATCTGCTTGCGCACGCCGCCCACGTCGTCGTACCCCACTTCGTCGAGGCGCTCCTCGTCCTCGCGCTTGATTGGCTCGCCCTCGCAGAAGATCTCCGTGTCGGGCGCCACGATGCAGTACTCCGCTGGATCGGTCTCCACCACCTTGAACTCCACGCTGCGCATGCCGCCGCGCACCAGAAACAGATCGCCCTTGCGAACCGGACGGTACGCCTCGAGGAAGTACGCTGGACGGACACAAGGATGGCAGCATACGGGGAGGGAGCGAGAGCAGGTTGAAACGCTGCGAGCACAACCACGCGTTGAGGTGCTAGACAGCAGCGCTACACGTGCGAAAAGTGGAAGCAAATCGTACGGCTCGCGACTGACGTTTGAGATAGGCGTCGAAGAGGTTGCCGGTGACGCCCTCAACGGAGTCGTCGATGGGCAGCACGTGGATGCGCTTGCCGTACTTGACGTCCGCGCACTGGTGCACGGACACCACGTCGCCCAGGCGCACGCGCAGGTTGGCGCGCACCACCTTGTTCATGCGGATGCGCGTCTCCTCCACCGTGTCGTCCGCCAGCACGATGCACACCGTGTCCTTGCGCTTCTTGCCCTGCCAGCACGCGCACCGCACCACGTCACCTCCTCTCGCGAATCCGGGTTTACAAAACTAAACCACACAGCATCGCTAAAGCTTCTCGAGAGGCTGATGCCAAACTCGTCAAATTTTCTTGACTCAACAAACTCAAATCCAACCTCGGCACTCAGCGACTTACCTTGAGCAGCACGGTATCGCCGCGGAAGAGCTGCAGCTCCTCCATGGTCTTCATGTTGAGCGCCACCACGGAGTTGTCATCGTTCACCGCCTCGTCCACTATCAGCCGGTTCAACGCCTTCTTCCGATCCAGAATCGCCGTCGAGAAGTCACGCTTCCCACCCTTGCCGCTGGAGAAAATAAATGGAACAGAAATAGAATTTGACAGAGTGGCGAGGAAAAAAAAGAGGGGAAGAACGCGAGAGCTGCAGGGACCAGAGTTGAAACCGAAGATCGGATGAGAAAATATAGAAGGCCAGTGCCTCGCACGATTTAAGTGAATTGTCGACGCATACCCGGTTGCCACGCAAAGGCTTCTAAAAACCGACACAACAAAAAACAAAAACGATCTCTAGGAATCAGAAGCACAGACAGCAAAAGAAGCCCTACCGATTAGGGCATAAGGTACCAGGGTTACGTGATTAACAACAATCGGAATTCAGCAATAACGATACCAGGATGCAGATCTGGCATCACTTACGCAGCATCGGAGCTCTCCCCCTGCGTCATCCTGCTTTCTCGTCCCGATCTGTTACGGTTAGATTCCAAAAACGCTGAGAAACACTTTTGATCGGTCAGGCGATGGTGGCGGTGAGACTTGGAGAAACTCGATGAAAGAAGGCGGACGCTGGAGATTCACGCCTTGCTGACAAAAGGCGATGGAAAAGGAGCAAGGCAAACACAGGTGTGGGAATTTCACGACACCCCTATTTGATTTGTGAATAGTCTGGTGAGCGAGCAAGCAACGGTGACTCTTGCTGGAGCCGCGACTGGCTCCGTCAGATGAAGTCCAACTGTTTTCGTGAAAGTACAAGTTCAAGGTGAGGGAGCAATTCTCCAGAAGAAACACCGCCAAGGTTCTGACATCCACGTCCAACGTCAAATTGCGGGCTGCTACACCAGTTCAATCTGTTTTTATAAAAACATATGACAGCAATATCTAACTATAGCCACAAAAGTTACAATAGTTGTACCTGCACGTTGTCCATTAAGAAAAACGCATATACAGCGTCTTTACTCAAACTAAACATCCAAATTAGCAACACCTTGTAATAAACACAAGAAATGGCACTATCTTTTATTAACTAAAGTTGTTTGCATTTGCATGTTGACGAGGCACGATTCTTGTGAATTGAGGCTGTAACTTGTCAAAACATATGCATGTTAGTATCTAGGCTATATTGGGGCTAGCCTTAAGGGGTACAGAAACTCACTCGACACTCTAGTCTTGTACCCCAACCTCCACCTAATCACACATACTCTTCTCATTCTAACATGGCATCAGAAGCCTAGGTTAGGAACCTAGGACCACCTTGTACTAAGGGCCCGCCCTTCCGCTAGCGCCCTCGAGCGCCTTCTTCCTTTCGTGCGCCCTCGCGCGCCTCGTTTCCTGGTCGCGTAGCCCGCTAGACGACCGCGCGCGGCCCCCTTTTTGCCCGCGCGCGGCCTCGTTTTTTGCCCGCTAGCAGCCTGCGCGCGGCCCGAATCGCGTGCGCGACGACCATAGGCCGCTCGCGCGGCTCGATCCGCCCACGAGCAGGTCGCTAGCCGCCCGTCGGCCCGCCCGTAGGGCTTCGCGTCGCCCGTAGGCCGCCGCCCCTGCTTTCGTAGCCGCTGCCTGCGCGCGAGTGCAGCCCACGCCCGACCGCTCGCCCCTAGGACGGCGCTCGTAACGCCGCCGCCCGCCCGCAGGTCGCAGCCCGCGCGCAGTGGCGATCGCGCGTCGGCTGCTGCAGCTCGCGCTTAGCTGCAGCTCGCGCTTAGCTGCAGCTCGTGCTTAGCTGCAGCAGGACCCCAGCCGCGGCCTGCACGCAACTGCAACCCTAGGCGCCGCCGCGCACCGTGCATAGGCCCGCCGTTGCGCTGCCCTACCTGCCCGAGCCGCGCCGCCCTGACTGAGCCTACTGTTTAGGGTTTAGGGTTTTGCAGCACCTACTGTCCCTGTTCCTGCTGTTACAGCTGTTCTTCTCACTACAGTTGTTCCTACTACTGCTCTTACTGCCGCTACTGCCACTATGGCTACACCCACAGTTCTCTCTTTCGATGCTGAGGGCCGTCCGCTCCAGTTTGATGCTTGGCTTGACGATCTCCACCTTTTCCTCCAGATCACCGCTAAGGATGACGTCTCGCTGTATGACCACGCGTCCGGAACCGCTCTCGCACCTGCTGACACTGCTGACAGTACAGCTCGCTCCCAGTGTGTCAAACAATATGTTTAATATATACCCTGCGTGCTGTAGGTACTGTAGTTATTATTATTAAGAGTTGGTGGTGCACCTTCTTTGTTGCTTTGCTATATGTACCTTGTGTGCTATAGTGAAACCCTCTTTCCCTTGCCTAAACTCTCTCGACACTTTCTCCTCTTCACCCTAGCATGGCTCCTCACCTCTAGCTACTATCTTAACATGGTACAGAGCTGGTTCTTTCCCGGAACCTTCTCTTTTTTTTTTTTTTTTTTAAGAATCATGGGCCCGCCCGTACTACAGCGCGAAATGCGCTATTTTCTTTTTTTTTCTCCCCGTTCGCCCGTCACGCGCGCCCTGCCCGTCCCCCCGAACGTGCCACGTCGGCTGCCTCGCGGACGCCCCGTCGGCTGCCCCGCGGACGCCCTGCCCGTCGCCCGCTGCCCCCCAGTTCCGTCGCCGCGGCGCCCTCCGTTCCGTCGTCGGGGCGCACCCCTTCCCGTCGTCCGCGAACCCCGTTTCGTCGCCTCGCGGCCCCCCGTTCCGTCGCCAGCGCCCGCGCCAGCCCGGACCGCAGGCGCCGCCGCCAGCGTGGCCCGTCAGCGCGGACGCCACCACCGCGGCCAGCCGCCACCGCCACCGCCAGCAGCAGCTACCGCCAGCGCCAGCAGCAGCTACCGCCAGCGCCAGCAGCAGCTACCGCCAGCGCCAGCAGCAGCTACCGCCGCCCTGCCCCCTCCCGCCCGCCCTCCCTTCCACTGCTTCCGTCGTGGGGGGGGGGGAGGAGGGGGAGATGTGGGGGTGGCGGGTGTGAGGTGTGAGGTTGTGAGGAGCCAGCACCTCCTCCCTCCCTTCCCTCTTCCTCTCTCCCTGCAGCACTTGTTGCTGTAGGGGGGGGGGGGGGGGGGCGGGTGTGAGGAGCCTGCCACTCCTCCCTCCCTTCCCTCTTCCTCTCTCCCTGCAGCAACTGTTGCTGTAGGGGGGGGGGGGAGAGAAGTGCAGAAGGGTGAGGGGGTGGCGGGAGAAGACAGGTGCGGAAGGTGTGAGGTTGACGGGGTTGAGTGACGAGGGGGTGAGGACTAGGGGGTTCTTAACGGGGGGGGATCGCATTGAGCGTGCGCGCTCATGCCCGCCTAGCCCACCTCCTCTCCTCATCGGGACTTGGGGGTTCTTAACGGGGGGGGATCGCTATGAGCTTTCGCGCTCAAGCCCGCCTAGCCCACCTCCTCTCCCTTCCCTCTCTCACCTCCCCTTTGTAAAAGGAGGTTCGTAAGCGGGTCCGCCGGTCCTGGCCCCCCACCTCCTCTCCTCTCCTCTCCTCTCCTCTCCTCTTCTCTCCTCTCCTCTCACCTTCCTCACTTCTCTGCCTTCTTCCACAGCGCTTGGTTTGCTCGTTCAGGGGGTGCTGGCTGCACCAGTTTCTACCGCACGCAGGCTAAGGGGGTGTGTCAAACAATATGTTTAATATATACCCTGCGTGCTGTAGGTACTGTAGTTATTATTATTAAGAGTTGGTGGTGCACCTTCTTTGTTGCTTTGCTATATGTACCTTGTGTGCTATAGTGAAACCCCTCTTTCCTTGCCTAAACTCTCTCGACACTTTCTCCTCTTCACCCTAGCATGGCTCCTCACCTCTAGCTACTATCTTAACACAGTGGCAGACTCGTGACGCCCACGCTCGCCTAGCCATTCGCAGCCACCTGCCGTTAGATGAGCGCGCGCACTTTGGCCAGCACAAGACTGCTAAGGAGCTGTACGATGCAGTAGTCGCCCGCTACTCCTCACCTGCCTCCGCTACGATAGGCCGTCTCTCTCTGCCCTATCTTTTCCCCGATCTCGCCGCCTTTCCCACAGTCGCTGACCTCATTACACACCTCCGCACCAGTGACACTCGCTTCCGAGCCGCCCTCCCTGCTGAGTTTCTCGCCAAGAACCCCCCACCGATGTACCTCGTTCTCTACCACCTAGTCACCCGTCTCCCTGACTCTCTTCGCGCAGTCAGGGACCACTTTCTCGCCCTCTGCCCTACCGAGCTCACCATTGACCTGCTCGAGAAGCATCTGCTTGCAGCTGAGGCTAGTATAGTTGCTGTAGGTGCCTCTCGTGGCGACCCCCGCACGCCCTTCTTCGACGGGTGTTCCCCTTCCCCCCTTCTCCCCTCGGTTGCCTCTGCTGCCGCTGTCGACTTCCTCGGTGCTGAGGACGTCGGGGCTGCGTCTGCTCCTAGCTGGAGGCGCAAGAGCGGCAAGGGCAAGGGGGGCAAGGGTGGCGGCGGTACCAGTGGGGGAGGTGGGGGTGGCGGTGGAGGTGGAGGCGGTGGGGGTGGTGGCGGTGGTGGGGGTGGTGGCGGGGCTGGGGGGGTCAGTGGCAGCGGCGGAGGTGGCAGCGGCGGGGGTGGCAGCGGCGGGGGTGGTGGCGGCAGTGGTGGTGGGGGAGGCCGGGGTGGAGGTGGTGGTGGTGGCGGCAGTGGGCGTGGTGGCGGCGGCTCGGGTGGTGGTCGGGGTGGACCAGCGCAGCGTGGAGGCTCGGGTGGTGCCCAGCGCCAGCAGCAGCGTCTTGGAGAGACCCCGTCGTCCCAGCAGCTTCGTGAGTGGTACTCTCAGCATGGGGGGTCTGGGGGTGGAGGCACCTGCACGTATGTCATCCGCACCGGTGACCGCGCTGGTCAGACGTGTGGGCGTTTCCACACGCCGCACCGCTGCTTCTTTCGTCTAGACGATGCCTGGCGTGCACAGTTCCCGGAGGCCTCTGAGCTGCCCCGCTGGGCTGATCTGCTTAAAAAGAACATTGATGTATTTGCACTTGACTTTGATGTTATTCTTGGAGCCATGTATGCATTGACTATTAGTGTTGAGGGTGACTGTTACTTGTGTGTGCCACCAGACCCAGGCATTGCGACCAGTGAGGCTGCCGCTCTAGGTGCTAGTGCGTCCGCTGCCCCAGGTCCTGGTGAGACAACTGCTCTAGGTGCAGGTGTGTCTGCTGCCCCAGGTGCTTGTGAGACTGCGCCTTCAGGTACAGCGTCTACTGCGGCACTGCACACCTTCACCCTGGACTCAGGTGCTTCCCGCTGTTTCTTTCGCGACCGCACTGCCCTCGAGCAGCTTCCTAGACCGGTTGCTGTCTCCCTGGCTGACCCCTCCGGGGGTCCGGTTCTTGCGACCTCCTCCACTGTCCTCCCGTGTCCTGCGGTCCCGTCTGGCACCCTGTCAGGTCTTTACCTCCCCTCGTTCTCTACGAACTTGGTGGCGGGCTCTGCTCTACAGGACGGGGGTGTTCACCAGTTCACCCCTGCCTATGAGCGTGTGACCCACTGTACGTGTGCCCGGACGGGTCGCCACCTTGCTACCTTCACTAGGGAGCCGGGGTCGGACTTGTACACACTAACCACTGAGTCCCCTCAGGTCGCTGCGTCTGCGTCTGCGTCAGGTCAGCTGTCGGCCCCCTGCTTGTGTCGCTCCCTGTCCCACCAGACTGTCCTCTGGCACCACCGCCTTGGTCACCCGTCAGTGCAGCGCCTTCGCGGCATGCACCGTCGCCTCCTTGTCTCTGGTCTTCCCCGGGTTCTCCCTCCCCTCCCACCCTCGCCTGCGCCTCCCTGTCTTCCCTGTGTCGAGGGGCGGCAGCGCGCCGCTCCTCACTCCTCCGAGTTTCCCCCGACAGAGGCTCCTCTGCAGACACTCCACATGGACGTGTGGGGCCCCGCCCGCGTCCGTGGACAGGGCGGGGAGCGCTACTTTCTGCTGGTAGTTGACGACTACACGCGTTACACCACGGTCTTCCCCTTGCGCACCAAGGGTGAGGTCCCTGATGTCTTGATCCCTTGGATCCGCACTACCCGTCTCCAGCTGGAGAGGCGCTTTTGCTCAGACCTTCCAGTCCTGCGACTGCACTCTGATAGAGGTGGTGAGTTTTCCTCCGACCTCTTGAGAGCCTTCTGTCAGGGGGAGGGCATTGAGCAGACGTTCACGCTTCCGGCCTCTCCGCAGCAGAATGGGGTTGCTGAGCGCCGCATTGGCCTGGTCATGGAGGTCGCTCGTACCTCCTTGGTCCATGCGGCTGCCCCCCACTTTCTGTGGCCATTTGCGGTCCGGTACGCCGCGCATCAGCTCAACCTCTGGCCCCGTGTCTCTGACCCGGACACCTCGCCGACACTGCGTTGGACGGGAGAGGTTGGCGATGCGTCGGTGTTTCGAGTCTGGGGATCTCGTGCCTTTGTCCGCGATGCGTCCGCGGACAAGCTCTCCTCCCGTACCCTCCCCTGTGTCTTCCTTGGCTTTGTCCCTGACGCGTCTGGCTGGCAGTTTTACCACCCTGCCTCGCGCCGTGTCTTCCCTTCTCAGGACGTCACGTTTGACGAGTCGGTCCCCTTCTACCGTCTCTTCCCCTACCGCACTGCCCCGCTCCCCCCTCCGCCGCTCTTCCTCACTCCAGGTGCTGCTGTGGTAGACCCCCTGCCTCCCCAGGGTCCTGCAACCTCAGGTGTTTCCCAGGTAGACCCGGTCGAGCCTGTCGAGGTAGCTGTCGACTCTGGTCCTGCGCGAGGTACTGAGCCTGAGCGTGCCGAGCCTGGTGGTGCTGGGTCTGGTGGTACCGAGACTGGGGGTGCTGAGCCTGGGGGTGTGGAGACTGGGGGTGCTGCCGCTGGGGGTGCTGGGCCTGAGGGTGCTGACACTGGGGGTGCTGCGCCTGGGGGTGCTGACACTGGGGGTACTGAGCCTGGGGGTGCTGTGCCTGGGGTTACTGAGCCTGGGGGTGCTGCGCCTAGAGGCACTCTTTCTTCCTTGGAGCTGCGTGAGTGGTACTCTCGGTACTGCCGCCGCCACAGTGGTACTGTGGGAGCTGGGAGTACTGTTGACACTGGAGCTGAGGGCGCTGGAGCTCCTGGTGCTGGTGTGGCTGCCGACCCTGGGGTTGGCGCTGGAGGTGCTGGAGCTGCTGGGCCTGGAGGTGCTGCTGGAGCTACTGGAGGAGCGAGTGCTGCTGGAGCTGGAGGTGCAGGTGCTGACGGTGCTGCTAGAGCTGGTGCTGAGTCTGGGGGTGTTGCTGCTGGGGACACTTCGACAGGAGACCCTGGGACTACAGGTGCCGGCTCTGGGGGTGCTCCTGCTAGTGACGCTGGTCCTGGAGGTGCTGGAGCTGCTGGAGGTGGTGGAGCTGCTGGTGCTGGGGGCACTGCGCAGCCACGACTGTTCTTTGCTCCGCCGTCTCCATCGTCTCTGCCACCGCCTGACGCTGCTCTTCGTCAGGTTCTTACCCTCCCGTCGTCTACTGGTCTTCCGTTACAGCCTGGCTCACCACTGCCTGCCCCTTCTCCTTACACTGAGCAGACAGGAGGTCTTGCTGAGCGTCGTGAGCCTGCGTCTCGTCCTGCGTCGCCCGTTCGCACTGCTCGCACTAGTCCTCGTGTCCCACGTCCGCGTCCTCCTCCTGTCCCTGGCACGCACCAGATGACACTTCGTCCGTCCACTGCTCCACTGCGTGTTCCACTGCCGTCCCCCCCTGCGTCTTCTCTGCCTGACGTTCCAGACCCTGAGTCTGACCGTGTACGTGCTGCTCACCCTACTGTCACGCGTCTCCTGGCCACTGTTGTCACTGACCCTTCCTTTGAGTCCGCTGCTGCGTCTGCCTTAGTTGCTGAGCTTGTCGACTTTGCTGCTCACTGTCGTCTAGACTACGCCGCGAGTCTAGTTGCTGAGTCTGAGTCTGTCTGTCCTCCGTCCGTCGGGGGTGAGTGTGCTCTTGGCACGGACGTCCTTGAGGACAGGCAGGAGGAGTTTGAGTGCTTTGCCGCTGCTGTACCTCATCTCGTGTCCATGCTGATTGCACCTGAGGGAGACCCGGATGCACCAGACATCCCGACCCCGCGCTCTTACGCTGAGGCGATCGCGGGTGAGTACTCCTCTCAGTGGCAGACAGCCATGGACGCAGAGATGGCATCCTGGAAGTCCACTGGCACTTACGTCGACGAGGTTCCCCCTCCTGGGGCGAACATCGTCAGTGTCATGTGGATTTTCAGGGTGAAGCGGCCGCCAGGTTCTCCGCCTGTCTTCAAGGCTCGTTACGTTGCTCGAGGCTTCAGTCAGCGAGAGGGAGTAGACTTCTTCCAGACCTTCTCCCCCACCCCGAAGATGACCACTTTTCGGGTGCTGCTGCACGTTGCCGCTCACCGTGACTACGAGCTTCACTCTCTTGACTTCAGCACAGCTTTCTTGCAGGGCAGCCTGCACGAGGAGATCTGGCTGCGCCGCCCCCTGGGCTTCACTGGGTCGTTCCCTCCTGGTACCCAGTGGAGCCTCCGGCGGCCAGTCTACGGTCTCCGCCAGGCGCCTCGTGAGTGGCACGACACACTGAGGACTATGCTTGCGGCTCTTGGGTTTGCTCCCTCCACAGCTGACCCGTCGCTGTTTCTGCGCACCGACACTTCACTGCCGCCGTTCTACATCCTCGTGTACGTCGACGACTTGGTGTTTGCCACTGCGGACACTGAGGCTCTCGCCCACGTGAAGTCGGAGCTGCAGAAGAGACACACGTGCACAGACTTGGGTGAGCTGCGCAGCTACCTTGGCTTGCAGATCACCCGGGACAGAGCACGCCGCACCATCACCCTGACTCAGTCACACATGGTGCAGCAGGTCCTTCAGCGCTTCGGCTTCACCTGGTCCTCAGCACAGGCCACTCCTCTGGCTACAGGTCATTCGCTCTCAGCTCCACCTTCGGACGAGTCCGTAGAGCCGAGTGGTCCTTACCCAGAGCTAGTTGGCTGCCTCATGTACCTGATGACTTGCACTCGTCCTGACCTCGCGTACCCTCTTGGTCTTCTGGCTCGCTACGTGGCTCCTGGTCGGCACCGACCTGAGCACATGGCTGCTGCTAAGAGGGTACTGCGCTACTTGTGCAGCACATCAGGCATGGGGCTAGTGCTTGGAGGGACGAGCCCAGTTGTTCTCACTGGGCACTCAGACGCTTCTTGGGTTGACGACCAGGCTACTCAGCGGTCGTCACAGGGTTACACCTTCAGCCTTGGCTCTGGTTCAGTTTCGTGGCGTTCTACACGCTCGTCTTCAGTTCTCAGCTCCAGTTGTGAGGCTGAGATCTACGCCACAGCCATGGCTGCGCAGGAGTTACGCTGGCTCACCTACCTGCTGACTGACTTGGGAGAGCAGCCTCGTTCTCCTCCAGTGCTGTACGTCGACAACAAGGCCGCCATTGCCTTGTGTGAGGAGCACAGACTGGAGCACAGAACAAAGCACATCGCTCTGCGTTACTTCCTGGCTCGAGAGCTGCAGCAGCGTGGTCAGCTTCGTCTGCGTCACGTGGCCACTCGGGCCAACACTGCTGATATATTCACTAAGGCGCTTCCGTCTGGTGATCATCAGCGTTTCTGCACTTTGCTAGGGCTTGTGCCCACATTTCCTCACTTGCTGTAGGCCTTGCTTGTACTGTGATCTATATATATATATATATATATATATATATATATATATATATATATATACGTGCATGTTTGCATTGCTAGGTAGAGATCACTGTGCTGTTCTTGCTGCTTATATACCTCTACATGTGGACTGGCCTTGTGGCCGTTTGTTTGTGCTCAGTGTGTGTGGTGACGTTGTGATCCACCCTGAGCCGTGTTTTGTTTCTTCTCTTGACTGGTCTTGTGACCATTGCTTGCTCTGGCTATCCCCCATTTCGCCTATGGGGGTGTGTCAAAACATATGCATGTTAGTATCTAGGCTATATTGGGGCTAGCCTTAAGGGGTACAGAAACTCACTCGACACTCTAGTCTTGTACCCCAACCTCCACCTAATCACACATACTCTTCTCATTCTAACATAACTGTCTTGTGTACAATCGCTGAATGGTGATGCAGTTTGAGGTCAATGCAAACATAGAAATAGGAAGCTACCCACAGCATTAAACACAAAGTTGTGCTATCAACAAGCAAGAATCCATCAATTGTAAGCTCTAATCATTCTCATAGTACCACTAGCTGTTTATGCCATCCCACCAGTTGTTCAACATCATTTCTTCACCCATCCCCTCCCTGAAGCTATTACCTTCTTCTCTATCTATAATATGCACAGTTGCTGGTGGGATTATCTGCTCATGACCCACCTCCATCATACCAGTGTTGTTCTTGTGAACATTTTCAACTGAAGGGGCGCAGTCTGATGCACGCTCTGTTGCCTCCCACATCTGGCCTCTAGCCAGAGGTTGCATGGCTGCACTTCTGCAATGGATTTCAATCCCCACCTCCTCGTGTTGCTGCTGCTGCTGTCTGCTCATAACAGCAGGCAAATAAGGCCCACTGTTGGTGTTCACGGGGTTTATTGGTACTATGCCCTGACTATTGAAAGATTGGTGCCATTGAGACGGCCCAGCCCCTTCCGCCTCAGCATTCCTTGTGTAGCGGGTATGGGGAAGCATGTCCACGGGTGTAAGCACATCATCGTGCATCACCAATGGCAGGTACGCCATGCTCCCACTACCCTGTGCGCCCGTGCAAGGAGAAGAGGCGGTCATGTCAGTGCCCTTACGAGCTGAACCGTCACCAGATGGCATGCAGTGGGGCAGCTGCAGGTCGTGGCGAAGGCTCTCTGAAGCTGGGATGTCTTGTGTGGGGGAAGCATAAGCAGCAGCCATTGCCATCATGCTACGGCTTGGGCTACCAGGTTCACCATTGGTGTAAGGCATGGCCATTGTGGCTTGGAAGGCCTGGGAAGTGGCAGCTGCCGGCAATGAGGGCAGTGAAAAAGGCTCAGGCTCGGGCAAGTAGGCTAAAGGTGTTGAAGCCGACAGAGGTGACGGAAGAGATGGTGAAGTTGGGCGGTCGGTGGGGTCTACATGAAAACCTGGGTCGCCGATTGTCAGTGCGTCTCCTTCTCCCGCTTGCCTAGATCCACCATTGTCCACCGGTGGGGCCACCTGCTCAGGTGCTCCCTCCCACTGCTGTGCGCCAATCCTCTCTTCAATCTGTAAACTGCCTGCCGCTGGGTAAAACGCCTGCGTCATATCGCCCTCTCCAGCAGGTACTGGCGCTGAAGGAGAGAACGACCCAGCAACCCCAGCAGTTCCAGCACCCCCAACAACCCCTGCAGGCCCAGCAGGCTCAACACCTTGAGCATGAGCAGAAGGGGGTGATGGACCAGGATGGTCCGGCACAGCGTGGGTGCGTGGACTGCCAGCATGAGGCCAGTAGGGCTCGCAGGCGAGTTCATCAGGAGCGGTGAGGAGCGACGTGAAGGCGTCGAACGTGCCCTCCATGCCCATGGACAGTGTGCCTTGCCGTGACAGTGCCGCCATGCCTGCACCTGGCTCACTGGCGTGGTGTGTAGCCGGGAGAAAGTCCGCGCACAGCACCGCAACACCGCCACTGGGGGGGCTGTCAGCCTGCATGCCATGCCCGGTGATCTCCCTCCCCCCACTGCCGGGCTCAAAGCCTGCCGCGTCGGACTGTGTGGTTGCGGCGTCTGCATGGAACGCCGCAGGTAGAGCAGTTAGCGGGCTCGGCAAGGCCAGGTCCATGGCGCACGCAGGAAGCACAAGAGGGGATAGTGCCGTACCTCTGCGCATCCCTCCCTCCCTGGTCCGTGTGCCCGTGCTTGCAGTGTTGGTGGCGACACGGGTGCCGCTCCGTCCAGTCTCTCGCTCGTCCTTGCCGTCGTCTTCAGTCCATGGCTGCTTCTCCCACTCCACCCGCCCTGCGCTCCCCGAACTCAGCGCCTGCTGCATGGCCTTGCTGCCGCCGCTGCTATGCATGGGAGACCGCTCGCACTCGCTGCCCGCCACGCCCACGCCGCCCTCTGCGCGGCTCTCGCGCGCCTTCCTCTCCGCCGTGCCGGCCACGGCCCCAGAGTGGCCATCTCGCTGCTCGCTCTGCGCTTGCTCCACGCCCTGATCCCGCATCGCCACCAGCCGCGTGAGCAACAGAATCTGTAAGGGTGAAACAATAGAGACAGTGAAAGGAACGGCATCATTAGTAAACTGGATTGCCCCCTCCGTCCGCCGGTTTACCAGGAAAAAACGAAGCCTAGCCCATCCCTGTCCAAAGTACCGAACACGGAAACACCACCCTGCAGCGCACCCGGCGCGCGTAGTACCTTGGAGTAGAGCCCCGAGTTCTCCGCGAGGAGCTCCTCGTAGTCGCCCTTGAGCAGCTCGTACTCGGACCGCAGCGACTCGCAGTCGTCCTCCAGCTCGTCGTACGCTCCCTTCAGCGAGTCCAAATCCGCCTCCTTCTGCCGCGACTTCCACCGCACGCGCCGGTTCTGGAACCACACCGCCACCTGCCGCGGCTGCACGCCCAGCTCCGCCGCCAGCGCGCGCTTGCGGTCGGGCTCGAGTGCGTAGTCCGCCAGGAAGCTCTCCTCCAGGAAGTCGATCTGCCACGCCTGGAACCGCGGCCGTTTTAACTCGCGCTCGCTCGCGCCGTCGCGATCGCTGCGAGTGCCGCCGCCGCCGCCGCCTCTCCCGCCTCCGCTGCTGCTCGCCTTTCCGCTGCCGCCTCCGCCGTCCTTTCCGGAGCGCGGCTGCCGCAGCGGGGCGGAGCCCGATGACCGCTCCACCTTCGCTGCTTCTGCTGCAGCGCCGCGTTTCTCGGCATCCGCGCATCCCTCTTGGATTCTCTTCTCCGCCGCACGCCTCGCCTTCCCGTTTCGCTTCCTCCCCTTTTGTCGCACCCCCACGTCAGCACCCGCGGCCGCGGCCGTCTGAGTCGCCTGGAAAACCACGTGCTCCGCCGCACCGCCACCCATTGCAGCGCCACTCGACTCCGCTAGAGCTGCCGGCGCAGCGGCGGAGGCGGAATGGGAGGCGACGGTGGGCGTCACGGGGGCGGGGGTAGCGAGGGACGACGGCGGCGCGTGGACGGGCGAGGCGATACTGTCGCTGATGGCGTCGCGCGGAGTGCAGGGTTGCACGGACCTGAGCGACACGGAGCGACGAGGAGTGCAGGGGCCGGCAGCAGTGAAGGTGGACGCGCGCTGCGCGGCCGAGGCTGTGCCCGATGTCCCGGCAGCTTCAGCGGGGGCGGCAGGGCCGGTAGCGCGTGGCAGTGGTGTATTTAGAGGTGGATTCCCTGTGGTATCGGGCTTCAGATCACCTGCCATGGTGCTCTGACCCAGAAGGCCCGCACCACTCGGCGTATACCATCCGGCATCGTTCGCGCGGTTCCATTCCGCGAATGGTTGTGCATCCGGTTGGCTCTTCGATGCCGTGATTTGCTGTCCGCTGTGATTGCAAAAAGAAGCGTTCGTGGCATGATGACGCTCGCCGTCTTGCCTGACTCCCCCGCAGGCTGCTCCTTGCTGCTGTTGACTTTGCTCGCATGTGAACGCCCCTTGCTTCCGTTTGCGCCCGCGGATGTGGTTAATCCGCGGTTGTGCCGTGCCAGGCGTAGGCGGAGTAGGAATGACCGATCCCGAGCTTCTAGGCGTCTGAGAAAATGATGCCATACTTGCTCCCTGCATTTCATAGGGTGAGGGAACTTGCTGTAGCTCTCTCGCCAGCCTACCACTCATGTCTTTCATCCAAGAACTAGCGAGAAACGTATGTGCGTATGTCTCAAACACCAATAAAAGTGTTGGTGACCGCGTCTAATTCTCAGTATTACACAATGCAACGACTTCAAGCCGTAGCGTGCTGTATACAAAGGCTCTGCCTGTGCATGAGTAGTGGGAAACGGGGGCTTGGTGGAACGGGGGCTTGGTGACATTCGTTTGGTTCCAGGCAGGCATGGCTGGCGGTGATGGAAATGAGCGAGGAGCTCGAGTCGCATTGGGACGAGAGGGTGGCTCCAGCTTGATTGGCTGTCCGCAAAAGGCGAGAGCAAAAGAGGAGGAAATGACTTGCGAATGTGAAACGCGATCGGACGATTAGAACCATCCGACCGTCCATTTGGCCATGAATTTCGACGAACTGCGTTCCTCTGCTCGCGTTCTGTTCTAACCCAGCGGCTCATCCGCTCACAGCCGTTTTGTCCCAACAGAAATCAGAACTACGAACGCGATCAACTCAGCAGTTCATTGGCTGAGAATCGATTGGGATATTCAGCATATGATCATGTACGTGTTCTTATCTACAACCTTAATAGTGTAAAACAATCTTTGGACCTATATACGTCAATTCTTAAATAGCTCATAGGTATCCCAAAAACATTAATGGATCACTTTAAACACAATGAAAGGATACAGGTTTTAATAGCGAATACGAAACTGTGCGTTGTTTTCCTCGAGGTCAATGATAATACGTCAAATTGTGTGTCTGTATATGCATTTTATATATCGGTATAACTGCCTGTATGTAGTTTTATTTGCTCAGGGATCTAGTTATAATCTGATAGCGTCAGCCCTGGGTTACCATTACCAGTATTTGTTTCTTAAATAACAATTGTATTTTGTTTATATATTTTTATGCTTAGATAATGCATTGTTCTCTCTTTCACTCGTTTGCACTCGTAACAGCTACAAACGGATGTAAACCTGTCAAAGTTTGGTTCTTGAAGCCCCAAAGCCTGGTCAGCCCAGTCGTCAAACTTGTTGACCCTGGCGGCAAAACAAGCTTCACTTCACGTTCATTGTAGTTGCTGGTGGGGTGCGGATCAGGCATGACGAGGCTGGGTCGCCTGGCATAACACGGAATGAATCCCCCCACCCGTCTCCCCCTTTCTCTCCCCCCACCCCTCTTCTTCCCCCACCTCTCTCCCCCTCTCCCTCCTCCCCGCCGGACACCCCTTCCCCCTACCCCCACCTTTTCCACAACTCGCCTCTCCAATGGGGTACCGGAGGGGAATTCACCGAATTCCTGAAAGCAAGAAGCCGTTTTATCGGGAGGGCAGTTTCCAAACCTCGACGTTATCGCCGTCTGCGTGGACAAAAAGATCGAGAGAATTGTCGGTGGGGTGTGCGGCACAGCACTGCGGCCATCACAACAGCGCATACACGTGTGATGGTCCTGCGATGTTCTCGGGAGCCTCACAAACGTCAGCTCGATCGTTTCTGTGTTATGAAACAACCACACACTTCTCATCCTGGGTCAGCTGATCTGTAGTTCTTTTTTCTGCCCTTCGGCTTGAAGTCGCCACCTTCTCTTGGAACGTGCACCGAATGCAGTGTTATCGGGCAGTTGGTTTCGGCTCACCCAGCAGTGCAGTGTTTCGCAGTTCACCTGCGGGTTTCTCGGCCACCATCTGCGCCGACGCTCCCCTGCCGCACTCACCTGAGCGCAAACCTCCACTGCCGCAAAGCGCCAAGCGGTACCACCATCCCTTCCGCATTTCACCGACCCCCCCAAGATGTGACCCAAACCTGGAGCAACTCCTGCTGCCGACACTACACACTGCCTGAAGCCAACCTGCCCTTCCCCTTCCCCCTCAAGCTGTACCTTACCCAATTGTATGGTTGGGGAAGGGAAAGGGAGGGACTGCCGAGCAAGCCTGTGAGCCTGGCCTGGGATACATCAAGGCTTGGGGCATCAGCACTACGGACCTGAAAGTAGTGGTTGATCTGAGGTTTGAGAGTTGTTGGTTTTCCGAATATTCTTTTGCTAGTCTTGTGGAAGCTGAATTCGCTAACTTGTACGCGCCATTGCCGGCCCTCACGATCTAGTCTCCTGCCGCACGAATGGCACAACAGTCCATGGCCGTGTTGCTGGCGGTGCTGCTTCTGCTCCATGTGGGGGGAAGCCTTGCCGTCACCGTTGCTCAGAGAGAGAGTGAGTGCGCGTGTATGCTTCTGAGTCTACTTCCACGTCGCGCAACGCCACGCGACTATCTGATAGGACCCCTACTACCAGATCCTTCACTTCCCGTTGTCCAACCGTCGTTCACCGTAGTGTTGCCCGCCACGCGGATACTGCCTATCAGCCAGTTAATGACCACAACGCCCCTTGCGCAGTGGTTGGTGGTTGCTTTCCGCCTCTCTTCCTTCCCCACTCTCTACCTTACCCCGCCACCCTTCCTCCGCTCGCCTCCTGTTATGTGCGTCCTGCAGCCAACGCGCTGTTATCGCTGAAGTTGACGCTCAAGGGCGATACCGTTCTGAAGAACTGGCTTTTCGGCAAAGCTGCATGCGCGAATGCGTTCACGGGTGTCAAGTGCAATAAAGGGGTCGTCGTAGGGCTGTAAGACCGTTCGCCCCTCCGTCGCTCACCACTCCACGTGCCGGTCTTTGTTGCACCACCACACTGTCGCTTTTTTCCGTTTCCAGCCGCACTGTCGTGCGTTTCTTGCATGCCCTGCGGGACTCCCTTGTTCCGATCTCGCTCTAGCCGGCCGCCACAACCGCATGTTGATGCACGCGTGCGGGGATGCCTGGCGTGCTGGCAGGTCACTGCCGAAGAAGGGTCTGACCGGCAGCATCGGAACGGTTGTGGGCTACCTCAACAATCTGCAGACTCTGTAAGCTACAGAGTCGGTCCCGCCTGCGCGCGTAGCTCCCGCTTCTGGCACCGCCAAGTCCGTTCCTGCCATGACCGCACCTCTCGCTCGCTTCCTAGTTCCTCGCCCGCGCGTTTCCGCCTGATTTTTGCTGTCTCGTCCTGACGATTGCGCGTCACATGCTCGTCCCGCTCGTACACCCCACAACAGGGACCTCTCCGGGAATGCCATCACCGGTTGGATTCCCGACGACGTGGCGTTCTGCACCGCGCTCACGTCCATGTACGTCCCACGTTCTCCGTCCATGACATGCGAGCCGCGCACTTCTCTTCATGCTCATTTACTCTGCTTCTTGCCCACCCTCTCGCCTCTCACGTTCTGTGCGTAGTTGTCACCCGCACTTTGCTACAAGCTGACATTGCATTGCGACGCCTCTTTCCGCCGTGCCCCCCTTCACAGCAATCTCAGCAACAACAAGTTATCGGGCGCTCTTCCCGACAAGCTCGGCAACCTCCTGTACCTCAACACCTTGTAAACCCCCTCGAACCCTCAAGCACCTTTTTTCTCTCTCTCTTGGACCTTTTTGCCTCTCCGACTTACCACGAGTCGCGGGCTTCACGTATCTCGTTCCGCGATGTGGTGTTCTAAATCTTTCTACCTTGGCGTGTGCGTGCGCGGTGTGCGACAGGATGTTGAGCGGCAACGCGCTCAAGGGTGACGTGCCGGTGAACCTGTTCAGCGCCAAGAGGCTCAGTGTGCTGCTTCTCAACAACAACCAGCTCACGGGCCGCATCTCCGAACTCACCGGCCAACCCACCACGACGTTCACTAACGTGTGAGATGCCTCCTCACTAATCTAAACTGCGGTGTCCATCCTTCCCTGTACCGTCCATCTTGAACGTTCCTCCTCCCTCGTGTACGCTCTTCTCATCTCCCTCTCCCTGCCCGTCGGCCACATCTCGTTAGCCTGTGTTGTTCTTTTTTACCCGTACGTTGCCCTCATGGCGGCCATTTCCCTCGTTTTCTGACGTTGGTGTCTCACCTGTGCGCGCCTGCCCCACAGTGACCTGTCCAACAATAAGATCACCGGACCCCTGCCGCCCCTGCTTGTGCGCTCAGCCAACCTCAAGAATCTGTGAGTTGGCCTAGCTGTGCTCGTCCTGCCATCTCCTGGCAGTCAGTGACTCGTGATGGGTTGGCATGGTTCAAGTGTGAAGGTGCTAACGTACCTCTTGTGTGCTTGCCCGACCTTGTGCTGCAGGAACCTCGCCAACAATGACTTCTCTGGCGGCTTGCCTGTTGGATGGCTGGGCATGAATAATCTTAAGACCTTGTAAGCCTCAACCGTTGATGCCCAAACTTTCTCCTCGTTGCATTCTCAGTTCCGCTCGTATTTTCACTTCCTAGTTACTTACCAGGTGCTAATGGTTGTGCTCATGTGGATCATCAGGTCTGTGGCCGGCAACGCTTTAACTGGACCCATCCTTCCTGGCCTCGCCACCCTCAAATCTCTCACCACTGTGAACTTCGCCAACAACAAGTTTTCAGGCACAGTCGGGAAAGCGTTCAAGAAGTTTAAGACTGGGTAAGTTGCCCACCTTGTATTTATGTTGATCTCAAGTGGGAATTGGTTTGACGATGCTATTGTGCTTGGGTCTATGCAGTTTCAAGGGCAACGCCCAGCTCTGCGTTGACTTCAATGGTGATGGCAAGTGTGAGCCTGCGACCTAATTTGCCGTGCTAGTGCATTTATTGGTTTTGCACTTAGCTGGATCTTGGCTCGACTTCTGTCAAGCGTGTAATTTGCTCTTGAAGGCTGTCAGGTGTGATCTATTCTGACAGACCTTTGTATGCTTATGGAGAATTCGTAGCACGGGCACTTCTATACATAGATAAACTATGCCAATCTTGTAATTGGTAATGAATGCAAGTTTGAGATTGTCAATTGATAATGTAGCCAATACGGAGTTACACATTGATAATCACTCACCTTTCAAAGTCATGGAGTGTTTGTGTTTGTATCTGATAAGAAATTCTGTTTTAGTGTGAGAAATGCACTCTTTGGCCTATAAGATTGCCAACAGCATAGGTACTGTGCTCCCCCCCAGCAACCTGGCTAGTGTACCGGTACCGGTACACTGGTCTTCAAATCATAATTAGAGCGTATTCCTATCCTCGTGTCAATTGGAACCTCATATCAAGAAATTATAAATTTTTGTCAAATGTTGTAGCCTATAGTGAGGTTTGTCTTAGGGGGTACAAAACTTAGGGTTAGCTATATGTACCCCAACCAACATCAATGCATCATCCATTCCTCATTCTGACATGGTATCAGAGCGGTTAGGATCCTGTGGGATCCCGTTCCTCCGTTCTCCGTTCGTATCTCCCGAGCCTGATCCTACCTCTCGTTCGTACCGGTTCCGTTGTTACCGCGCCTAGTGCCGAGCCTAGCGCCCTTCCCCCCGTCGCCTAGCGCCCTTTCCCCCCCGTCACGTCGCGCCCTTTTCCCCCGTTGCGTCGCGCCCGTTCCCCCCCGTCGAGTCGCGCCCTTTCCCCCCGTCGCGTCGCGCTCTTTCCCCCCGTCGCGTCGCGCCCTTTCCCACCGTCGCGTCGCGCCCTTTCCCCCCGTCACGTCGCCCTGCCCCGTCCCGTTGCCCCTGCCCCGTCCCGTCGCCCTGCCCCGTCCCGTCCCGTCGCCCCGTCCCGTCCCGTCGCCCCTGCCCCGTGCCGTCCCCGTCCCGTCCCGTCGCCCTGCCCCGTCCCGTCCCGTCCCGTCCCGTCCCGCGGCCCTGCCCCGTCCCGTCCCGTCGCCCCGTCCCGTCCCGTCGCCCCTGCCCCGTCCCGTCCCCGTCCCGTCCCGTCGCCCTGCCCCGTCCCGTCGCCCCGTCCCGTCTCCCTACCCCGTCGCGTCGCCCTCCCCCGTCGCGTCGCCCTGCCCCGTCGCATCGTGCCCGCCCTTTCCCCCGTCCCGTCGACCCTACGCCCTGGCCCGTCGCTCTAGCCCGCTCTTCCGCTGCGACTAAGTCCCACCTGAACCCTAATTTGCCTCTTACCTCCTGCTGTTACTCGCCTGCTCGTTCGCGTTAGTTTTCGCTATGGCGACTCCGCGAGTTCTTCGTTTCGACGCTGACGGCAGACCTCTTGACTTTTCCGTCTGGCTCCTTCGCGCTCGCCGTCTGTTAGAGAGTCAAGTCCAGGGGGGCGAGACCCTCTGGTCGCACGCTACTGGTGACCTCCCCGAGCCCCCCGAGCCTGCCGCTTTAGGTCCTGCCCCTGACGATGCTGCTACGGCTCGCTTTGCCCGTCAGCGCGCTGACAGGACGGCTTGGACGTCGCGTGACGCTGCGGCCTGCATCGCACTCAGCAGCCTCCTCCCTGAGTCAGAGGAGGTCCACTTCACTCAGGTTCGCACCGCTGCTGCGTACCTCACTGCGATTAAGGCCCGCTACTCTACTCCCGCTACTGTCTCTCTTGGCCGTCTTTTCCTCCCGTTCCTGTTTCCTGATCTCGCCTCGTTTGAGCGCTCTGCTGACTTGATCGCTCACCTCCGCTCGCTCGACGCTAGTTACCGCGCTGCTTGCACTGAGGCACAGCTTGCACTGCTTCCTCCCCCCATGGCGATTACTATCTATTTCATCGCCACTAGCCTCCCTGACCGCCTTGCCTCCGTACGTGACGCGCTCCTGCTGAAGCACCCTAGTGAGCTGACAGTTGAGGTCCTTGAGTCTGCGCTCAAGGACGTCGAGAGCAACCTTCGCTCGGTAGCTGCCGCCTCTGGTGCTGTGCCCCCCCCACTCTTCCACGGGTGCACAGTCCCGCAGTTACCCACCTTCACTGCCTCTCTTGCCACTGCCGCTACTGACGCGACTGCAGCTGCTGTTACGACTGCGTCGCGGTCCCGCGGCAAGGGGGGCAAGAAAGGTGGTTCTGGTGGAGGTGGAGGCGGAGGTAGCGGAGGTAGTGGGGGTGCTGTTGCGACTGGCGGTGGTGGGAGTGCAGCGTCTGGAGAGACCTCTCGTGCAGCGGCTGGTGACTCCACTGCGCCTGCTGGTGGTGGCGACACCCGAGCTCGTCAGTCGTCTCCTGTACTGCCGGCCCCGCTAGGTGGAGCAGCGGCGTGGTACCAGGCTCAGCGTCAGCAGCGGCTTCAGCAGCAGCAGCAGCCCCTCTCCTCCCAGCAGCCTCAGCAGCAGCAGCGTCAGCAGCTGGCTCCGGGGTCGGGGCTGCGTCAGCCCCAGCGTGGTGCTGCTTACCCTCCCTGCACCTATCAGGTTCTGACAGGTCCTCGTCGGGGCCACCCTTGTGGCCGCTTTCACCCCCCTGGTCAGTGCTTTGCTCAGCTCACTGACACGGTCCGGTTGGCCTACGGGGTTGGCGGTCCTGCCCTTGACTGGCTTCCTCTGGTTCAGCGCTACGGCTCCGCTCTGTGGGGCATGTCTGCTGAGCAGTTAGTTGATCTGATTGGTGCTCCTCATGCTATGTATGCTGTTGTTGACTCTAGTGTTTCTGACTCTGCTTACTCTGGTGTTGTTAGCTTAGGTGCTAGCCTTGCTCAGTTGCCTGTTGCTAGTGTAGGTTCTTGTGTAGACTCTAGTCCAGCGGCTACCTCAGAGGACGGTTCGCTGTCGTTCACGCTGGACTCTGGAGCCTCTCACTGCTTCTTTCGTGACAGCACGACACTTACGCCTCTTCCTGCGCCTGTTTCTGTGGCGCTGGCTGATCCCACTTCGGGACCAGTCACCGCGCGTCACACTACCACCTTGCCGTGTCCGGCTGCTCCTTCTGGGTCTCTCACTGGGTTTCACGTCCCCTCGTTCTCCCGGAACTTGGTGGGCGTGCGACCCCTTGTGAGTCAGCACGTGGGTGTGTGGTTTGAGCCTTCTGGAGAGACTGCGGTGTGTGTTGACGGGGACTCTTACCAGCCTCTCGCCACTTTTGCTGCTGAGCCGGGCTCCGGTCTCTACACTCTTCACACTGGCCCGCGCGCTCAGCAGCGACTGCAGCAGCAGCAGCAGCAGCCTCAGCAGCGGCAGCAGCAGCAGCCGCAGCCACAGCGGCCGCCGTCGCAGCAGCCACTCCTCCCAGTTCCTGTCCCTCCCCCTAGTCTCCTCCCTGCGTCTCACCAGGTGGTTCCGTCCCCTCAGGTTGTCGCGTCCAGTCCAGTCGCTGCGTCTTGCTCCTGTCGGTCGCTTGCCCACCCCACCGTTCTGTGGCACCACCGGATGGGACACCCTTCTCTTCCACGTCTGCGTGCTATGTCTAGTCAGCGTCTGGTCTTAGGTCTCCCGCGTGTCTTGCCGTCGCTGCCGCCGTCCCTTGCACCACCGTGCGGTCCTTGCGTCGAGGGTAGGCTGCGTGCCACCCCTCACTCCTCCTCCCTTCGTCCGGCCACCGAGCCTTTTGAGACGCTGCACTTGGACGTCTGGGGCCCCTCTCCTTGCCCTGGCCCTGAGCGTGAGCGTTTCTTTTTGGTGGTCGTTGACGACTACTCCCGCTATACCACAGTGTTCCCCCTGGCGAGGAAGTCTGAGGTGACTTCTACGCTGATCAGGTGGTTGCTTACCACCCAGGACACTCGTGGTCGTCGTGTCAGCTGTCTCCACTCCGACCGCGGGGGCGAGTTTCGCTCCGGCATTCTCGCTGGATTCTGTCGCGAACAGGGCATTCGTCAGTCCTGGACGCTTCCGGAGTCCCCACAGCAGAATGGGGTTGCTGAGCGTCGCATAGGCCTGGTCATGGAGATTGCCCGCACCTCCTTGACTCACGCCCGTGCCCCCCATTTCCTGTGGCCATACGCAGTCAGGTACGCCGCGCACCAGCTGAACCTCTGGCCACGCGTCTCTCGGCCGGAGGCTTCACCGACCAGTCTTTGGACAGGGTCCCCTGGTGTCGCGTCGAGGTTTCGTGTCTGGGGGTGCTTGGCTCTTGTCCGCGACACCTCCGCGGACAAGCTCTCGCCTCGCGCCGTTCCTTGTGTCTTCCTTGGTTTCCCTGAGGACTCCTCTGACTTCACCTTTTACCACCCTCCCTCTCACCGGTTCTTTGACTCCCGTGACGTCCGTTTCGAGGAGTCCACCCCGTACTACGTCAGGTACCCCAGTCGAGGTCTCCTGGTTCCTCCTCCCCCCCTCTTCCTGACAGCCGCTCCCCCGCCTGCTCCCCCGGTACAGCCTCCCCCCCCTGGTCCAGCCCCGTCTGGTGTGTCTCAGGCTAGCCCTCCCCCTTCGGTAGCCCCCCCTGTACAGCCTCCCTCCCCACAGTCTTCCTCGCCGCCTCCTGCAGGTGCTCCCTCTCGGGAGGTTGGTCCTGCGACTGTCCCTGTACAGGTCTCTGGTTCTGGGGGTGCTGGAGTTGGAGCTGAGCCGCGGGTTGCAGAGGACTCTTGTCTTCCTTGGGCTGGTACTGGTCGTGCGGAGTCTGGGGGTGCTGCGTCTGGGGGTGAGGGTGTCCCTTCGGTTTCTGGAGAGCCTGGGTCTGGAGCTGGTGTTGGTGCTGCCTCTGGGGGTGGTGTGCTTGGTGCTTCGGAGGTCGACTCTGGGGCTGCCGCTGCCCCGGACACTACTCCTTCCCCCCACCCCTATCCGACCAGGTTCCAGGCTCGTGTTCGCCGTGCTCGTGAGGAGCAGCTGGAGTTGGAGAGAGAGGAGAGAGAGTTGCAGCGGCTCGAGGAGCAGGAGCGACAGCAGCAGGAGCAGCAGCAGGAGCAGCAGCAGGGGCAGCAGCCGCTGGAG